TGTGGAAATGGGCTCCCGCCAGGCTGCCAAACTGCTTGAAAATCACACAGGAAAGCCTAATGGTTACAGAGCCGGAGGCTACATTCCTGTGGCTGCTACTTCACAAAGGAGTCAGGAAAAATGCTGGGAAGACACCCTGTTGTGAAAGGAGTCTCTGCATATGGCTCCGAGCTCGTGAGCTATCCGGATATGAAGAAACTTCTACTTTACACAACAAAGGCCCCCAACACCTAGTTACTAGGAGAGGGGGAAATGTGGGACTCTGACACATCTGCTTCTTTCTGCTTCTGTAATTTGCTTAAAGATTTAACCCTTGCCGTAACTCTAGGGGGGAAATGAAGAGTCAAAACGCAAGAGTCAGAATGCACTGACTCCATTTTGGCTAGCTGTTTCAGGCAAGCCCAGACAAACCCAGGCATGTTGTAAACCTCCATTTGCTACCCCCCACCCCCAAAGCTACAGGTTAAGCAAGTCTGGGCATATAAAATCCTTATAAGGTAAAAACAGAAACTTCTGGCCCCACAGATAACAGTCAGCACACTCCAATGCCCTAAAGACAGCTCTTACCAATAAGAATCTTCCCCACTCAGGGCATAGGACCATCCAATCATTTTAAAGGATGCTTGGTGCACATGGGCTTCTGTAAAACTTCCATATAAAAGCGTACCCCACCCTAGTTTGGGGCTCTCAGTACGGATCCGCTACATCAGTGGAATCTGAGGGCCCGAGCTTAAACCCAAATAAAGGCTCTTTACTTTTGCATACTCTCCGGACTCCTTGGTGGTCTTTGGGGGTCACAGGATCAGGGTACAACACCAGCAGGACTCCTTCGCTTGTTTAATCTCCAAAAGAGCTCAGAGGTTCTTGCCTATGCCTTTCTCAAGCCATGCTCTCTACCCAGAAATGGTCATTCCCTAGTCACTGGACCATAGTAGATTAACCCAAAAACAAAACCTTTCCTCTCTTCCCGCAGGCCACTGAACCTAGGTCTTGCCTCCAGCAGCAGGTAACTTTCACACAGAGCAGCCCTCCTATATGGGCCGCCCCACACAGAGTACAACAGACCAACAGCAAGCCAGCCAGTCTGAATCTTCAGCTAGTGAGGGGTTGGGGGCTGAGTTCCAAGACAGCATGAACCCTGCTGGTAAGAGAGACCTATGGCTTCTCCTATGGAGGCCACTGTGTCAGACTTAAGCCTAGCCTCTGATATGGTGGCTCCTACCTTTTACTGGCTGTATTGTCTCCGAGAGCCTTTCTTCGGGGGTCAAGGTCAACCTAAGCCTACAAAGGAGTTCCAGGCTGGTCTAGGCTACTGAGGGAGACCCTAATTATAAAAAAAAAAAAAAATCCCACCTCAGTATAGATGGCTTATCCAATGGACTGGGGCCCAGAAAGAAAACAAGGCAAGCAAATCTCTCTCCTGGAATGTGATATACTCTCTTCCTGCTTATGAAGCAGAATTCAATCCTCTGGCCTTTGACCCCCAGGACTTACCCTGGGATCGCTTTAGTTTCTTAGGTCTTTGGCTTTGTTCAGATGGTTATATTAACTTCCCTCGTTCTGATCCCTGTGGCCTTAACTCACAGCCTTTTAGGACTTCTCAGCCTCCAGAGTCACATGAGCCAATTCCCCTGATAAATTCCTTTTCATATATCTACAATGTCAAGCTAAATAACAAAGATTCTCTAAGAATAGTATTTGGAAATAGCAGTGCAAATATACAGCCATAGAAAATTGAGTGTATGCAAATAGGGTAAGGAAGGGCGTTTCAAAGCAAAAATAAGGGTTACATAATATGTGATTAGGATTACATAAGATTTTGAAACAATAATCCCTACCACAAGGATTACTAACAAAGGTGACATAGCATGGTTGGCTAAGCAGATAGTTTCTGGACAGATATTCCTGCAGAGGCACTTCTGGTGTAAGGTTTGGTGTAAGTTTATGTTATTCAGGCAGTCTTTTGTGAGTTACTATCAGGCAATCATGCATGAGAACTTGCTGTGTTGTAGAGGCCTGCATAGTGTCTGGTGAAGGCCCTGACTCTTCCCTGAGGCTCCTACACCCACTGGCTCTAAGCAAAAACATTTGGCAGGACTCTAGACTGAGTCTCTGTCTAAAACAGTGGGAGCCAAAGGGAGAAAGAGATCTGTGGGTTTGACTCTTATCTTCAAGATACTTATGGTTTGAATGTGGCCAAGAATTAAAGAGAGGGGACTAGAGCCCAGAGAGGTCCTTCACTAATACCTTGGCCTGGACTTCTACAAGGTATCAGTATAAACCTCATCCCCAAATTCATGTGAGTGGCATTTGGAGGTAGGACTCACATGCAGTAGGAAGATTAAATGAGGTCATGATGGTTGGTGGCATAAGTGACTTTATAAGAGAACTGAGCTGGGTGTGGTAGCTCTGTGAACACATGACAGACTCTGGCCCCCTACAGCTCTGTGCTCAGAAAGTACCAGGCATTAAGGGGCGGGGGGGGGGGGGATCTCAGGAAATACCTACAAGTTTCAGTCCAGCTGGGAATGTAACTCAGTTGGTAGTATTTGCCTAGTATGCATGAAACCCTGGGTCCAATGCTCAGCACTACATAAATTGGGTGTGGTGATACATACCTATAATTGCCACACTCAGGTGGAAGCAAGAGGATCAGAAGTTCAAGGTCATCCTTAGCTATATAAGCAGTTTGAGGCCAGCCTGGGATACAGGAGACAGTTTCAAAAAAGCTGTCAATTACTCAGCAGTCCTGGCCTTAGCCTGGTTGCAAGGAGAGGCCCCACAAGCATCCCATAAGTGAACAGAGTCAAACACCTTAATGGACACTGAAGCTACTGGAGAATGAGAGCAGGCCCTTTTCATGTAACAAGTATCAATAGACAAACTACTTTCAGTTACAGAGGAATGCAGCTTTGTTGTGGGAACCCTGACAGTTCCACAAAGCATAAACTATGTCTCACTGTGAAAATCATCAGACAAACCCAAATGGGCATAGCTCTCTGCAGTGGCATCTCTTAGTGGTTCCAAGTGACTGGAAAGGCCAATATTCCCCCAGCCAGCTCTGGTGCCAGGCCCTGACTGGCCCCCAGAGAAAGGGCAGACTGCCCAACACCCTGCATAGTGACAGCTGCCAGGCAAATCTCATGACAGGGCTACACAAAGTGGCCAGCTGGGCTGAGGTCAGAACCCTCGTTGGATATGGGAGCCCAGGAGAGGTGGAGTGAGAGCAGGCAGCTGAAGCAAGAGTAAGGGTGGCCAGGCACAATGGGGAGGGACATACACAGGACAAGTAGTAGCCTGTATACAGTTGAGCTCCAACATCTGGTTGCCAGAAAGCCCAGGTCCAAGGCTTCTGTATTTGGGCCAGGAGCTGGCTGTGGGGCCTACCTAGAGAGTGGCCCTTAGCATTGCAAATGAGGCCACTTTCAGCAGGCTCTGGGTGAGCACAGGACCATGAGGGGCCTTTTGTCACTCACTCCACAACAGTTTTCTATTGATCCTTTGTGGAACCCCAGGCCAGGAAACTATCGAGGGCCTCCTCTCTAGAACCAGGATGGCAGCAAGCCTGGGAGCACCTGGAGACAGCAGATGGTAGAGTCAGGTACAGGACACTGCTCTGCCCTGTATGGAATCCACATATTCATAAAGCCAGGAGCGGACAACCCATCCTCCCCCAGACTGCACCCTTGCCCCAAGAGCCAGCCCCTTATGCCAGGGTGAGGCTATGGTCAGAGGTCTTGTGGTCCCAGATCTATTCACCTATCCAGAATGGATTCAAGGGCCTAGGACTGCACAACCACCCAGTAGACTCATTGTAGGGGCATCAGGCAGGAAATGGGTGATGGCAATTATCATGAAGCTGCCCCAAGGTTCCACCCAGTCCATCCACCTGGAGCCTGCCAGACGTGCAGCACACCCAAGCTATGCTTCAAACTCATGAGGTTTTATTGTCACCACAGGGTCAGGGTCAGAACTCATCTCCATCAGCACCCTCCATTGGGCGCTTAGAGTTGCTGTGGCCTATGGCAAAGAAGGGGGAGGGGCATGGATAAACCAATGTGGACAGTCCTGAGTGCCCCTGAAAGATAGGCAAGGCTGGTACTTCTTCCTGACCAGAGCAAACACTTCCAGACCATCAGGCAGTGAGGTTTCCTACCCCCTGGGGACTGGCTCACATGGGATCCTACTAAGTGGCAGGAAACCCTGGCCATTCCATCACCCCAGTCATTCACATTCTAGGCTACAGATATTCCTACCCAGAAGGGAGCTGCCTTGTCCTGCAAAAAGCCAGTGAAAGGAAAAGGAATATTTTGCCAAAGGGCCTGTCCCCATATGGGGCTCTAAGCAAGAGTAGGGCAGCTATGTGGGCAGGTACCCAGTTTCCAAAAAGGCAGCTCAGCTACCCCACAAAGTGTGACTTCAGGCAAAGGGACACCCAATAGCCTATTAGCAGCAACTTCACAAAGCAACCTCCCTCCAGGGAGCAGCAATAAGCAAACCCAGCAAGGTATAGGGTAAGGAGTTAGTCTGCTGGGGCAGGGGGTTCAGCAGCTGCCTCAGTTCCCTACATGAGGATGTTCTACTGAGGTTCCTGGAAAGCACCAGGGGCCCAGGAGTGCATCCTGTAAGGAGTCTGTCCATCCATCCAACAAAGCAGCAAAGGAGACTTGCCAGCATATCCCACAGAGTTTTGGGCACTCCTAGGTATCTGGCTCAGTGCAATAACCACAGCAAACCAGGAAGGCCTCAGGCAAGTGGTACTAGAGAGATGGAGTGCAGGAATGCAGCTGGCAGGGCCTGAGAGCTAGAATGGTGACTCAAAGGCAAGGCCTGCCTACATTCAGCATGTGGAGTGTCTGGTATGTCTATGTGGGACCTGTGCTGACCCCATGGTTAGTGCTATATCCTGGCAGAGAAGTTCGATGACTGTGCAATGGCTGTAGGCAGGTTGTGTCCAGCTCCTCAGTCCTGTTTGTCCTCTCTCTGCCTCCAGGGGTAGATGAGCTCTCCAAAGAATAGCTTGCGACACAGGGAGCCCCAGGAGTGCTTGGGGTGGCAGCCACAGCTGGGCAGGCGGTAGGTGTGCACCACACGGTTATAGGGCAGGGGGTTTATCTGCAAGGGCAGGGTAGTAGTCAGTGGGATGAGTAGTTAGGGGTGTAGCTGTGTGCAGAGGAAGGTCTTAAGGGATGGTACCTGGCTGGCCTTCTGGGGAATCTTTGGCCAGGCAACTGTAGGGCAAAGCCAGCTGGCACAGACCTGTGGTATAGCCAAGCTGACCCTTAGAGAGGCAGAAAAGCACACAGCACTGTGATGCCCTGAGGGAAGTGAGGTGAGAGGGGAAGCTCAGTGTCCCTTTGGGACAGTGGGTCTCTAGGATCTACTCTGTTCTTGGAAGGATGAACACCATGCAGATGCTTTAGCATCTGCAAGACATCATAAGTGGACTTGGCCCAAGTTGCAACTTGATACCTAGCAAGTCACCCCAAAACTTGTTCTGCTCCCTCTGACAGGGACCAAGCACCCAAGACTGTTTAAGTGAAAGATCCAAGAGTTGCCCAAAAGGAAATGTCTACATTTCCTGATGCCTTTGTTAAATTATGCTTCATCAAGCTTGAGCCCTATTGGGCCCAGGGCAGAAGAGGATACCTCTGGCTCAGGGCAGGGGGACCCCATTCCCAGGCTGGGCTAGATATCAACCACAATGGGTACTCATCCCTGCTGGGGAAGCTCCAGGCATAGTAGATCATGGTGCCCAGATGCCTGGGAACCTACCCCTCAGCTCCACTAGGCTCTCTTGGCTGTACCTGACCCCTGGCTGACTTAATATCCAGATCCGTATCAGCTAACCTCAGCTGTCCCAGAACACAGAGCACAGTAGGAAGGAATCCCAGGTCTGGGTAGCAGTGGAGGGCACAGGGAGTTCTTACCTGCATCAGGAGGCGAAGGGGCCTGCCTGCCTCCTGCTCCAGGACTCTGAACTTCACACCAGCTACAACGAGAGCAAAGTACTTAAGAAAGAAGGTGGCAACCCCCACCCCTAGTGCACATGGCACCAGGAGACAGCCTCCATTGATGCAGTGGAGACTGGTGTGGATGGAAACTTCTGATGATGGAGGCTCCCAGACCTGCCTGGGCACATATAGCTCTTTCCTCTCCAGTCTTTCCCATTTCTTTCTCTCTGCTGGGGGACAGCTGCCCCATTAATGGTACAGTGTCTTCCAACTTCTGTTTCTGACTGACCTGGGGACTCATGGCACCCCTAGACTGTAGTTTGGGCTCCTATGTCTAGGAAATACCCAGACAGAAAGTTCTTGAAAAGAAGAGGACCTGAAGGTCACTTGCAAGACCTTCTAATCAAAGTTAAGCAGCCCTGCTCTAGCTGTTGGCTATGAGATAGGAAGGAAGAGACCCTGCACCCCAGATTGTGTCTGGGTTTGCTACGGCCCACCTGGTCTTTACATTCTAAGGTGAAGCAGAGTGGAGGCAGAGGACATATAGGCAACACTGCAAATGGGTCCCTGGCCTGAGCTATGTGGGGTTAGTGGGGAAATTAGCTAGAAGATATTCTCAAAATGGTTTATAGGTATCGAGCAGCAGGGAGATGCTTGACCTTTCAGCAGACAAATCTTGATACTGGTTCAAAGTCAGAGAACATGTATGTTCCCACCAAATAGCTCTATACTGGCCTCGGAGGCCACCGGAATTGGTGCTAAATGTTGGCTGTGCCAGGTAGTCCTCAGGCCTCCACTCTGTCCAAAGTCCCAGAGTCAAACAGGCTGACCACAACCTCATACCTAAAGAGGAGTTTCCCCTCAGGTGTCAGAATACAATGTGCAACAAGGATGTCATGGGGACAGCTAGGGTTGTGGGTGATGATTGCACACAATGCAGAATGTTCCTGTTAAAATATAGCAGCCCTCATTCCAGCCTACCTCTCTAAGGGTGAGGGGAACCAACAGGCAGGCATACAGACCATGACATGGAGACAGACTTCTGTGAGCCTCAGTTGTACCATGCACAGATCCTGCAGCAAACCTCTATGTCTCTGAACCTCACAGTAGAAAAGAAAATAGCTGACCCAGCAGGTGCCTATGGCTGAATCTCTCTTACCTGCCCACCCATGCCACATACTCCAGACAGAAGGTACATGAGGTTAGCACAGGTGGTTTTGTAGAGCTAGTGGGTATGCAATCCTGCCTGTGAGGAGCCAGCCACTCTGCACCCAGCACTTACCTGCCAGCCTGTAGGGTCGGCAGAGTCGAAGGCCAAGGGAGTATAATGGCAGGGAGTTGATAAGGTCCACGAGCAAATGAATCATGCCCTGCACAGTGACCACTAGGAGCCGGAGCTGTAGTAGGGTGACATTCAGAGCCACTGAGCTGGGGATGAGGCCAGAATCATGCTGGATTTTCCAGGGAACAGATCAGTCCAATAGGCTCTTGAGCCACACTAAGGTTGACCAGGGCCTCAGGGATCTTGGGAAAAGCATAGCTTCTACCTTGAGGAAATTACAGAGCTGTCTTTGGACCTTGAACCTAAGGCCCAGATACTAGGAGTAAAGAGTAGCTCTGCCTGGGGAGGAGCTTGTAGCAGAGCAGCTGGCCCTCCTTCCTCATTGTAGACTGCGTTAACTACATCCCTACCACTAATAGGTCACAAAATGGAGGACCCGGGCCACCTAGAGATGTTGCTCACCTCCCACTCTCAATCCCAGTGCCCAGCAGCACGGGAAGGAGCTTTCATTACCTCACCTACCCACCATGGGTCCCACCCACCCCTACAGCCAGCTACCCCCAGGTGCTGGCTGCTGCAAGACCAGCACATAGTTCCCATAGGCTTTAGAATAGCCATGCTGATGTGACCTGCAGGGGTAGATGGTCTGCCCCTACTGCCATGCCCAAATCAGGCAGTGACCAGTCCAAGTTCTATAAGTTCCAGGGCAAGAGACGATAGGCTCACCAGGGTGAATACCAGGTAGTACAGAGCAGTGGTGGGTAGCAAGAAGACCAGGATGGTGAAGAGCAAGGTCCCGATAAACAGCTGTGGGGAACAGGGACCAGCACATCTGCTATCATAAGACCCAGACAAGGAATGCATGTTCTATCACTAGCCATTCATTCCCTCAACCTGATCTTTTGGCCTTCTGAATTAACTAGGGTCAGCCCATTCCCAGTACCACGGGGTGTATCCACCTTCCCTAAGGACCTTGTGGCTCATAGGAAGACAACCAGCAAAATGCACAACTACATAAGACGTTAGGAAAAAGTGCCTGCATCAGGTCTACGTAAGCAAATGAAATAATCCAGAGCAGGCCCTATGCCCAAATGGAGAATGGAGAGCAAGGTCTGTCCTCTACCTGGGGAAAATCTGTAGGTCTACTGGTATCCTCCCCAACCCCCCACCAGGATAGGAGTAGACTGCTCACTGACAGTGCTCAAGTAGCTGCCCCTGCCAGGTCAACAAGTCAAGAGAAATAGGTACCTGATCGAGGTCATAAGAACAGGAATCCACCCGCTGGCGCAGAACATTCCACTTCTTCCCCCGGAATAGACGCCAGAGAGAGGAGAGGCCATAGATCTTCAAGCAGTATAGCCTGCAGGACACATGCTCATGAGGTCCACCTGGGGGCCTCATTATACCTTACCCATCTGACTAGACCCTGTTGTGTGCCCACAGCTTGGAAAGCTATACTTGGGGAACACATGCCTACCTTGCACCATAGACATAGAAGCAGTAGATGTGGAAGGTGAGGAGGGCGATGATGTCCGATAAGATGGACAGCGCAACAGTCATTCCCAGGCAGGCTGAGAGGCCCACATGCCACAGGATGTGCTCAATGAAAGGGGACATAAGATGGATGTAGCCTGGAGAATTGGGGTCAAACATGAGCAGGGTACCCAGAGAGTCCTGGAAACCCCAATTCCTGAGAATGGATGCCTAAGGCTTCAGAACATGGTAAGCAGTCCCAAGCCACTAGCCCCAACAGTGTGCTTCATGCAAATGGGAGGCCAGGAAGTAGAGGCAGAGGGAATGGGACCTGGCTGGGGCTCCCTGTTCTCTTCAGTCAGCCCTACTGGACTATCCCACCCTGCCCATCAAGGCACTCACTGATCCACAGGTGGATGTGGTACAGGAAGAAGCGGCCCAGCACCTGATCCAGTGCCCGATTCATCTTGAGCCCAGCAGGAGCACCCATCAGCCACTGTAGCAGATGTTGGAGCTCCTCAGCCACTCGCTACAGGGATGGGGTAAGAAGGAACAACATGGTCACACTTCAAGTGGGTGGGTGGACTTAGGATGATCCATAATGGGCTCCCACCCTGGCCAGTCCATCTCGGTAGGGCAAAGGCAGTCAGTACTTCCTCTGAAGGTCCTGATCACTGTCCTCTAACAGTGGATGGACAGAAGGTTTCTCATACTTGTCTGGTCACAGATGATTTCTGGGATTCTTGTCTGTCTGAGGCCTCTTCAGTAAGCTGAAGTATATAAACTAAATCCTAAGGCAGGGTCAGCAAGGAAACTGTACCTCCACTGGAGAACTTCCTTCATCCTCCTATCCTGCCACTTCAGTCCTGACTCTAAGCCCCTGACACTTAGATGTGGCTAAGGCTGGATAGACCTTGGCTCACCTCTAACCCTTAGGGGAACCTGGGAGCCACTGAAGCCTTCTGCCAAAGACCCTACCTCACCACCTGTCACCAGAGGTCAGGGTCACCCTACAGTGGGCAGTACCCTTGGGTGAGTGAGAGGGTGTCAGGCCTATCAGGGGCCTGGGAAGCAGGTAGGATTACTGGAGGGCAAGGTCTTTCACAGAAAAGACAAAGGACAAGAAACAGCAAACAGCACAGGGACTTTGACAGCAAGCAGGGAAACTGGTACTAGCCAGGGTAAGAAAGAATACTAATGGAGAGCTGCTATACTGGCCATGGGGGTGCAGGGGGAAGGCTGAGGAATGTTCTACTTTGTCACCAATGAGGCCACAGGAGTAACTCCTGTGTCCCTACATGCTTTTCACAAAGTCTTTTCCATCCCTGTGTTAGAGCCTTAGGACCACCAGGGGAGGGAGGAAAACCTTCTTTAGAACTTATTTAATATTTAAAGGATAAAAGCTTGGCAGCAGGAAAGGATTCCATGTTTTTAATTAAAATTTTTCCTTTCCAATTTTGCAAAAAGGAGCCTTCAGACAAAGCTGGCCAAGAGGCAGAATGTGGAAGCAGTCTGTTTTTCTTTCCCATTGGGCTGACCTCCCCATATTCCCACAATTCAGGAAGCTGAAAAGAGCCCACTCCTGCCCCTGGTGACAAGCAGACCTGGCACGTACTTGCACTGATGTGACAGAGGCTATATTCAGGCCCCCACAGAGACCACCCTAAGTGGAAGACAGACTTCCAACAGGAGAGATAGGGTTTTGGCTCTAGTGAAGATGAAATGAAAAACTGGAAGGTTCCAAGGCCAGGTGGATGGAAATAAGGAGGTGGAGGACAGAAGAGCAAGGAAGGGGCCAGCATGGATGTGTTATACAGTGCAACACTAGGAGCAGTGGGCAAGATTTGTGCCACTTGCTGTCAGCATGGGATCAACCTGGGACTATTGTGACCAGCCCGGCAACAGCCTTGGGCACTAGATTTCCTGAAGTTGCCTTCAGAGAGAACCCAAGTCTGGGACAACAGATAGCAGGGGGAGGACTTGACCCCTGAGTCTCCTGAAAACCTCAACCACAAGTAGCCCCCTTGTGGGCTACTACCTTCAGGAAGGGGTAGAAGGTACTTCCAATGTTGCTCTGGGAGACACAGATCCAACAGCACCCAGTGAACCTCTAATGGTTTGGGTTAAAGGCTGTGTCTCTAGGATGAGGACAGGAAAGAGCTCCTCCTGCCAGTTGAGGGACTCTACTACTCAAGAGTCCCTCACCCTTAGGAAGCTGGGCCCCACCCAAATCCACTCACGTCAGCCACAGGGACCAGGGCATTGGCCAGCTGCCCAATTCGGTTATTGTTGTGGAGCCAAGAGAGTAGCAGCAAGCCGAGGGCCACATCTATGAGCACAGAGACCAGCATGTTGGCCTTCCTGGAAGGAATATCAGGGAAAGCAGCTGAGAGATAGCTGGAGACACAACCTGAGGCTACTGGAGGAGGCCTGGCTGGAGGGGTCAGCACAGTGGATCCATTTTAAAGCACAGGTGGGAAACAGGTTGAGCCACACCATCCCTCCTTGCAGAGGAAACCCGTACTTCATCAGTTGGGTGGGGCTCTGGGCCTTCTGGGTGCTGAAGATGAGTGAGAGGTGCTTCAGTCGGTGCTGGAGCTGTTCACAGGTGGAGAGTTTTCTTCTGATGAAGGACAGGGGCCACAGCTTCCATAGCCTAGGAAGAATGTAAGGGCTGAGACTGATGCCTTGAATCTTCAGTTCCTTTTTGCAGTCAAGGCCCCTCACTCTAAAAAAGGCTAGATCCACTTAGCCTTAGCCCTTTAGTTCTACTCCAAAGCTCAGCAAGACCCAGGCAAGGCATGAAAGCCAAGATGGCCTAGCAAGGATGCATGGGTACAAGGTGGCAACACCTTCCTGAGACCTCCTCACTGTGTGTTCACCATGTACAGAGCTTGACCCCCTCAGAGCCTCAGGCATATCTTAGCCCACCAGTTAATATAGCTGTGCATCAAAATGGCCCAAAAGTGGGGATTAGTTCATCTCCCATCCCTCAAGGATTTGCCCTGCTGGCTGGACAGTAGCCCAGAGGCTCATCAAGGGTCTCCTGGGATTCCCAGTAACACTGGGTTTCTCAGAAAGGAGGCACTGAGATGTTTCCACATATGCTCAACATACTAAGAGTGTCTGAAAGCCAAGGTAGAAGAAAATGCTTGAGAACAACTGAGCTGCACTCATGTGGAGCCAGGACAGCAGAGTATAGGAGTTGTATCCCCATTAATAGCCTTTGCTGGAAGTAGGAGGGGGCTAAAGGCTCTTGGGACATACAGAGCTGTCTGTAACCTTGGGAGGGAGGGGCAAGAGGACATGCACCTTGGAAGGTTCAAAAGACTCTTCAACAGTACAGCTTTGAGTCAATTTTAATTAGTGCATTCAACATACCCCTCCCTTCCTAATGCCCAGACACATGATGACTTCTCACTGGCCACATGAACCCCCTCCATGCAGTGATCTCTCTAAGGGCTCAGGTTAGCTGAGCACAGCCCAGACTCCCAGCACCCTTGGAGCTGCCTCGGGAGGGCACAAAGCTATGAGAGGTAGAGAGGCTTTAGTCTCATGACAGCCTCACCTTGCCTTGCCTGCATGTCAACACTCATAACTACTGACTCTTGCCTGTTGGGCAGGCTGATGTCTGTACTACATGAGGGTTTTTTTTTTTTTGTATTTCTGGGTTTTTTTAGAGCCCCAACTGGCAGCTGGCTTGGAACTTACTATGTAGACCAGGCTGTCCTTGCCTGCAAGTGCTGGGATTAAAGGCGTGCACTACCACGCCCAGCCTTCACCTCTCTTGAATCCCTTGAGAAGATGCAAAAAACTAAGAACCTTCTCTGCTAAAATAGTACCTGGTATCAGACACATACCTTATTTCAAGTTTGTCATAAAGTCTACTCCACACATCAAGATCCCTAGCAGCTCCTGGAACCTAAAGTGTATGCTCCCACAGTTACCAAAGGCCTCCTTCCCAAACCAGTGTCCAAGGGTCCCTAGAACCCCTGGAAAGTGGACAAGCCCTGCCAGTTCCCATATGAGATATTAATGTTACATCTCCAGTCCTAAAGGGAAGGGACAACAGAGGACTAACAACAGCTGTTCCTCACAAGCAACCAAGAAAACATGTACACGGACCAGTCTGGGATATATGAAATCCTGTGCTATAAAAACAGAAGAAAGAAGCCCCTAGGCCCTCATAAGCTAGGAAAGCCTGGTGCCATTCAACACTCTCAGAACCTTCTGACCTTTCCAAATCCCTCACCAAGCCAGCAACCCCATGATAATTCTGGATGGCCTGAATGGGGGCCACCACTCCAGGCAGTCCCTCCTGGAAGAGGGACTGCACCAAGTACCTGAGGCCTGCTGTAGGGAGAGCACCGAAGCAGGGGAATGGGCAGCAGACCATGTCCCTCACAGACCAAACAATTCCAGGTAGGGCAGATAATGGCCCTAACAATGCAACAACCCATGTTTGTGTTCATTGTCTGATTTCTCTTTTAGGGTCTTTTGAGCTATCTATGGCTTACCCTTTACCCACACCTGGTGGGAATCACATAAGCACTGAGGCTGTGGTGAAGAAAAAAAAAAGGCTGGCTGGACATGCTAGTATATGTCTTTAGTCCCAGCACTTGGGAGAGGCAGATGGATCTCTGTGAGTTCAAGGCCAACCTAGTTCACATAGTGAGTTCCAGGCCAGCTGGGGCTACAAAAAAGACCAAAAAAGAAAGAAAGAAAAAAAAACCAACAAAAAACAAAAAGCTGGACCCCAGACATGGGAACAGTGGCCTCCACAGGGACATGTTCTAAGATACAAGGGGAGGGAGAGTGGGATGAACGGGAACAGCATGAGCCTCAGGAAGGACTCCCTTGGTGTCTATCCCCCTGTACACTGAAGGGTGAGCCTGTAATTCTCATGGGTCTGATTTATTGCTGTATCCTACCTGGTCCTGGTGCACCTACCGGCAGGCACTAACAGCTGAGAGCAGGGACAGCAGAGAGGCCAGCAACAGGCAGACAGGCCCAGAGGCCTGCTTTGTCAGCTCCACAAGGATGCTGGCCTCCACACCCTCCGACTGCCAGTGGCTCAACCGCACAGGGCCCTCGTCAAACTGGTTATTTTGGAAGAGCACCTCACTGCGTGCTACTGTATCAAAGATGTCAGCCAGGCCTCCAGCGCTGGCTGTGGTGTCTCCAGCCTGGCAATCAGGGAGTACTGTGGGTGGATGCAGCCAGGATAGCAGCACCTTGCGCTGATCATAGAAGATGAGCATGACCTGGTCCTCAATGGATTTATCAGGGGTTGTGGACACCTGATGGTAGGCCTTGCAACTCCAGAACCGTGTGCCCCTCTCCCGACACAGCTGCAGCCAGGGATCATGAGAGAAGATAGCACCCAGGCCCTCTAGGAAGTGCCCCAGGCTCTCCTTGGGCTCCTGCTGGCGGTGGCACCAGGTGCCTAGCACAGCCACATGCACTTGGCTGACTTTCTGCACCTGGGCCAAGAGCTCCTTGACCTGGATAGGGATGAAAGGAAAGTGCACCACAGCTAGAACCACAGCGCTGTTCTGTTCTGGGACCCACCGTCCCACTAGTAGGCCGCTGTCTGCAGAGGCACAGCATGTGGGGAAGAAGGCCTTGAGCACCATACCGGGCACCCTGAAAGAGAGGGGAAAGAGCTGGTTAAGAGCTGCTGCCACTGTGTGGCTGTGGGATGTTGTGCCATCCTTATGGACCATTTGCCTGGCTGCAGGTTGGGACAGCCCTCTGGATTTGGTGGCAGAGACCATGGGCTATAGCTATCCATCTCATATGGACTGAGCTCTTTCCAGGTCAGCTGAGTCCTGCCCCACGGAACAATAGCTACACATACCATGGCAGGCCATTGCTTCCTCACATTCTGACAAGTAGCCTGAAGCAGGGCAAAGTAAGATACTCAGATAGATGCCACCAACAACAGTGTATAGGGCTGAGCATAAGGTCTTTAGGGACCTAATGAGAAAGGTTTTCTTATAAGTAGTACATATAAAAGCACACCATCTGCGCAACTGCACAAAGCACAACTTTAACAAACCAGAGGCCGTGTGATACACACCAATAACCCCAGCAGTGGGAGGTGGAGGCAGAAGTTTAAGCCTAAAAGAAAACACCACCAACAAAAAAAAAGTTAAGTAAGGTATTTTACGCCTATAATTCCTGTACTCAGGAGGCTGAAGCAGGAAGAACACTGAGTTCAAGGCCAGCCTGGGCTACATGAGAATTCCAGGGCATACTGGGCTATAAAGTAAGACCCTGTATCAAACAACAAACGGGATTTAGTTAAGCAAGAATTAAAATGAAGGGGCTGGAGAGATGGCTCAGTGGTTAAGAGCACTGGCTGTTTGTGCAGAGGACCCTCAGTTCTTAGCACCCACATGGCAACTACAACAGTCCCTAACTCCAGTTCAAGAGATCTGATGCCCTCTTCTGGCCTCCATGGACATTGCATGCATGAGGTGGAGGTAAAACACTCATACACACAAAATAGGAATAAAATATTTTTAAAATAAAATAGAAATTTTAAAAAGCAGGGAATAGTGGCTCATGCCTTTACTCCCAGTACTTGGGAGGCAGAGGCCAGCCTGGTCTACATAGTGAGTTCTAGGTCAGCTGGGGATACAGAAAGAGCCAGTCTCAAAAACACAAAAACAAGGGCTGGAGAGATGGCTCAGTGGTTAAAAACACTGGTTGTTCTTGCAGGAGACCCAGGTTTGAGCCCCAGCACCCACATGACAGCTAACAACTCTAACTCCAGTCCTAGGGGATCTGACAGCCTCTTCTGACCTCCATGGGCATTGCACGACACGGGTACACTTATCTACATGCAGGCAATACACCGATACACATAAAATTTTTTTTAAAATAATATAAAATTAAACACACACACAGACACACAGACACACACAAACCCCAAAAACAAAATGTCAGTTAAGAGTACTGACTGTTCTTACAGAGGACCCAGGTTCAATTCCCAGCACCCATATGGTGGCTAACAACCATTTGTAACTCCAGTTCTAGGGGATCTGATGCCCTCTCCTGACCTCCACGGGCACTGCATACACAGGTGCACTTACATACATTCAGGCAATACACACAAAATTTTAAAAAATATTTTTAAAAAAGAATTAGATGGAAATTTAAAACTTGTTTTGGAGGGCTAGGGATGAAGTTGAATATTGCCTAGCATGACCAAGGCCCTGAGTTTGAGTCCCAACACCACCACAAAACAAAAAACAACTGGCTTTGGGGCTAAGGGAAATCAGATGCACATACACAGCACTGGTCCAGCATTCCAGATGGTGCTGGAGCTGAGTCTAGAGTCCAGGATCCACTGTCTCTCCTGTAACAGCATGTCATCCTACTACTGTGCTCAGAGAAATGGGCTCAGGATGGGACCTTGTGTTGCAGGCCTGTAATCCCAGTTACTTGGGAGGTTGAGGCAGAAGGACTACAAGTTCAAGGTCTGCCTGGGCTACAGAGTTAGTTAGGACAACCTGGTGACATACTGTCTCAGAAAGTGAAAAAGGGGCTAGGGAAGTAGTTCAGTGGTAGAGCACATGCTTAAAATGTATGAAGCCCAGGGTTTGTTTCCTATAACCATGGGGGTTCAGTACTCAGAGCTTCTGCCTCCACTCTACCCTTTTACACTGCTTGAGGTGCCCTTGGGTAGTACTAATCTTTCCCTAGAATCCTTGACAGTCATTCCAAGATAGAATTCACAGCAGGGCAGTATTCTTTTGGATATTCCTTCAGCCATGTAGCTATGAAAAAATACCATCACATTTTCTCTTAGGGGAAACCAGACTTCCTCACCTCTTATAACCCTGGTATGACCTTTGAGCATCAAAAACCATCATAACTACAATTCCTGAATTCTGTGCAACCTGGCACCTTTCGCAGAACAAAGCTATTTGGGGATTGTGGGTTTTCTCCCTGTTTAATTCAACTGATGGCTGGTAGGGTTTTAGATGCCTATGTGTGCCTTCTTTAGAAACCAACCAACCCACCTTGCCTACATGAAGGACATAATAGCAGCCCTGAGCAAACACCTCATATTTGGGGCCCTTATCTGAAGGAAGCATAGACCTTGGACTGAAGCCCAACCTCCTGGTCTAGGGCTCACACAAAACCCTTGAAGATGAGGGGACAAACACTAACACACATGCTTGGGGGTGGGGGTGGGGTCCTCCCACAGACAAATGCCTAGAGCATATAAGGTCTTCTCCCTGTAGGTAAGCCAACTCAGGAAAGGTCTCTCATGAATGCCTCTGGAAAGAGTTTGTGTGTGTGTTTGGGGGCAGGGGGGTGTTTGTGTTTGTGTGTGTGTGTTTTCTTAGGGATTAAACCTAGGGTCTCATGCATGTTAGGCAAGCAACCCAAAGCTTAAAGTTCTAAATGAAAAGGCACCTCTGGGTTGAGCTGCAGGATCCCCAAATTCCCTGTCCCAAAATGACCTCAGAAGGCAGGCAATTTTTGAGTATCTAACAGGGAGGCTGATGATCAATACCAGCCCTGGCCAAATCCCAGTGGCCAGTGTCAAGAGCCAATTTCTCATATACCTTCTGTAGGAACTGCTTCCAGAAGGCCATTAACATAGGGTAGTAGTAGCCAGGTGTGGTGGCACACACCTTTAAATCCCAACACTCAAGAGCCAAGGCAGGTGGATCTCTGTGAGTTCAAGGCCAGCCTGGTCTACACAGTGTGTGTTCCAGGACAGCTGGGGCTACAGGAGACCCTGTCTCAAAAAGACCAAAAAGAAAAAAAGCTAAATCAAACCAAACAAAAACATGGGGCATTGTAAGAGTGCAAGAGCAATTCTGCCTGTAAGGGGTCCAGTGGGCTTTGCTAAGACACTACTATAGGGGCCCACCCAGGACAGCCCAAGCCTTTCTGCAACAACCCTGTCAGGAAACACCAGCTCAGTGAAAGTATACCATCTGACTCTCCTGGGAAACACTTCACAGGAACTAAGGAAAAACGCATACAATGTAGGAAGAAAAATGCCTTTTGTCTAACTGTAAACAGATGTTGGGGGGGAGCTGTTTCAGGGTCTGTTTGCAACAAGTAAATTCAATGTATTGTATACATAATTTGTGCCCTTTTGTGTAAAACATGCTTCATTTACAGTTTTCCTTAAAAGCAAAGGAAAACAGAAAGGAAAGAGTGAAAAGCTAAGATTGGTGTTCTGATCTGTGGGATAGTGAAAGAACTCAACCAGTTATGGGGCAAATTCCCTGCTCCACTCCCACCTCTGCCTCGGGAACCACTGAAGTGCAAAGGAGTATGCTCACAATGGGCTGCCTGGATTCCAGCAGTAGAAAGATGAAAGAGCAAGCAATCGATACCAGTGCAGTTTCCAGGCTGGAGAAGCAGGTAGAAACCTGGGCAACATTTTAAAAGATGTTGATTAAAAGGACATCCCAAGCCTGAAAAACTAGCCTCTGACAGAAAGGAGTTAGCTCCCTCTGCATACCCAGGTGGGTCAGGAACGGAGCCTCTGGAAGCTTTTCCATAGAACTCCAAGTTAGAAGTTCCTGGTACAAGCAGAACTACCACTACCCTCCCTGCATGGGCAGATTTGGGGAAGAGCCCAGTAAAGATGGGCCAAGGACAACTCATACTTGATATTCTTTTGTGAAGCCTTAAAAGGATTCATATTTACCCCACGTTGCACTTTCTTGGCTGGGGCTGTAGCTCAGTTGGTTGAGTGCTTGGCTAGCATGCAGGAAGCTCTGGATTCAGTTCCCAGCATCACATAAGCCAGGAGTGGTACTGCATGCCTGCAATCAGGAAGTGGAGGCAAGAGGATCAAAAGGTCAAGGTCATTCTCTGCTTCCTTGGGAGTTTTGAGGCCTAGAAGGCTAATGTGAGACCTGTCCAAAAAAGCAAGCAAGCAAGCAAACAAAACCTATTTTCTTGCCTCTAAACACAGTGTTTTTTTTTTCTCTCATTTCAAAAGGGCTCTGTGTCCGCTCTTACTGAAGTCAGAGACAAGAGTTCCAGCGGCCGCAGCGGGTTCTCCCGGCGCCCTTCCAGCAGGTCTTCGGCTACGGGGCGTCCTGAAGCTCGCGACAGCAGGACCAGTCCCACAAGAGGCGCTGCCGAGCCTGAAGGATCGCTGAGGGGCGGTCGCCGCTCCCTCCCCCCAGCCGCTTAGCTTCCGTTAGAAAACTAAGAGGTAGGCAGCGAGCGCCTGAGGCCTCCACAGCCCGGGAATTCCCTCCTCCTCTCCTGGCCCCTCCGCCAGCCTTCCGCCCAGGTGCTCACCGGCTGCGCCCCTGGGACACGTACCCGAACTGTAAGGAGAGGTCAGGGATGGTTCGGCGGGCCCGGGAGGACAGCAATATTCACGGCCCCCAGGCCCGCCGCAGGACACCTGCCCCATTTCCGCTGGCACCGCGTGTTGCCGCGCGACGGTCCGGTCCCAAAAGGCGCCCGGGCTGCCCGCTGGCCGCGCCCGAGAGTTCCGCGAGCGCTGCGGTCCTGCCCCGCCCTAGCAGCCAAACCAACCCCACCGGTAAATGTCCTAAAGGGCTTTGTGGATCTAGCCCTTCCGGACTGGATGGCCGCTTTGCTCTCACCCTCCTGGTGTAAAATACCCCACGGTCTGCCTGGGTTCCCAGGTCGGTGCCTTCCCACCCCGCTCTTTTTCAGAGGGGCTAGCAGCTGTGTAGAAAAGCGGGAATAGAGGGGTATGCAGGGGTGTGATAGGACTGGCCCAGGGCTGCAGCCATCTGATTGCCTGTAGGGCGCATTCCCGCGTCCCTGGACCGCCTCGTGCAGGAACAGTACCCCCAACAACGCAGCAACTAACATTTATTTTTAACTACTTACATGCACTTTCTTACATTTCACATAATCCCCCACAACATAATGGTCAGCACATATTGAGAGAACCTGATGGGCGACAGGTGTAATGGTGGAAATCGCAGACCTCAAGTGTCTAGTTAACAGGCTGGGCCCCACCCTACACCCTACAGGGGCAGAAGGAAGCACCTTTCTCCTCCTTCCCACATCCTGAGACCCAGACTATAAACCCCTTTACACACACACACACACACACACACATACACACACACACACATCCCTTCCCTTCCGGATCTCATTTCCCTATATGTAATATGGAAGGAAAGGACGCAATTTTCCTGTCCTTAGTGCAAGGGTATAAAAGACCTGTGCTATCTAGAACACTCCCAGCACCCCAACCATGAGCTCAGAGTGCTTTGGAACCCAGTTGCAAAGGAGATATCAAAGATTTGTTTCACAAGCAGAAGTGTAAGATGATCTTGAGACTCCAAACCTTGCCACGTGCCCCCTCCATGGTACCTCCAGGGCTTGCCCCTCTACATTGCCTACCTTACCTCTGTTGAGCCAAGAGAAGCTGCTGAAGGCTCAGGACTGTGGGTTCCTCTGAGGTTGGGAGACACTAAGGGGCCACACCCCTGCCCCAAGCTGCTCAGCCCCAGCCCCAGCCACACCCTTTTTGCCTGCTTGCCTCTGATTAGGATCCAGAGGTTGGGGCACCTGGTAAGAGATCTTGCCTGCCTATGCACTATAGCCCCCAGGATCTGTAGCTTCAACTGTGACCTCAAAGCTCAAGCCTCCTGGAACCTGAGCTAGCAAAACTAGGGATTGGGTGGCCTCAGGGGAAAGAGTGAAAGGCTAGGAGCACACTGAACAGGGACTTGGACGAGTTCCAGTTTTGAAGACTTGAAGGGGAGGTGGTAATTCATGGCTGCTGAGAAAACAGGAGTGCTTTTCAAGAGAAATTCACAAGGCCATCTAGGGATAGGTATAGTAGGGGTCAGGGTCAGAAGCAGGTACAGCATCTCCCAAGGAGCCCACCAACCTTCCATGATGGTACAAGGGACTCAGGTCTGACCAGTTATAAGATGTTTTCCCCAGAGCCTACCTTCAGGCCATCTCCCCAAGACACTGGTACACTTTGATGCAGTTGTCTCCAGCATCTGCCACCACCAGTTGGCCTTGGGGTGCACAGGCTATACCCAAGGGCTTTTCCAGTCCCTTCAACAGCAGGCAGATGGGTGGCCGAGCCCAAGGAAACAAGGTCACCTGGTGCCTCAGCTCATCTGCCACAATAACCCTACCCTCTGTGTCAGAGCGCACTCCTGTTGGATGGCCAAATGTGTGACCTGTCAGGGTCCCCAGGGAGTCTAGAGGCTGGTGGGCACTGCCAAATAGCTGCACATCCCCAAATTCTTCACTCACAGCGAGGCCCCCATCAGGTCCTGGGCCTACCCAGCAGGGCCCCTCCAGACCTAATATGGAGGCTGGAGCCAGGGGCACTAAGGTTGGGCCCAACATGAAGCTATGCACAGTTCCAGGCACATAGTCTGTCACCAGGATTCGGCCAAGTCCATCCACAGCCAGCCCTCAGGGGGACAGGAATGTGCCCATGGTCACCCAGCAACCCTGGGGCTCCCAGGAAGTGTACTAGAGAGCATGGACAGCCCGATGGATGAGATCACTGACCACCATGAGCCCTGAAGCTGTCACAGTCACATCCTCTGGAACAAAGGCCCCACTTCCAGGCATTCAGCACATGGACACAAGATGCAGCGCCAGCCGTCAAGAAGAGCAAGCCAACTGGGGAGTACTGAAGGCCTCGGGGCCCCCCTGCAGCCCCTGATGGCACCAGGATCTGTTCCAGCAGCTGGGGCTGCCAGGAGCAACTGGAGTCCAGCATGAGATCAGGCCCTGGGGAGTGGGTGGTAGCCAATTTGTGTGTGTGTGTGTGTGTGTGTGTGTGTGTGTGTGTGTGTGTGTGTGTGTACACATCCCAGGAGGTCAAGGAGTCAGGACAGACGGGAGGCCAAGGGCAGCAGGCAGTCACGGTCTCAGCTTCTCTGCAGCTGCAAGAGAGTTGGGGTGCCCATGTGTACAAATGGTGGCTGGTGGATGCTAGCATCCTATTATACAGATGAGAAGCCTGAAGCACCTGAAGCCTGGGTAGAAGAAGGTCAGGGGTGAAACTGATCTGTATTCATGGCCAGTTCCTCCTAGTTCTGAATGCTCACCTGGTCCCCAAGCCCAGCAGTCATCCAGGTGTCAAAGTGTCTGCAACAATGGTCTTGGAGACACCACTCACTCATGAAAGTCAAATGTTTTGTTCTGAGGCCCAAATCAGCTCACAGATATTGATGTGTGTTCTGGTTTCAGAGTGAGTGTGTGGGAGGACAGATGAGCAGCATTTCTCAAATTCACCTACCCTAGGACCCCCTCCTTCATAGGGGTGGCCTAAGCTCCTGTTATTCCCCCACACAGCCCTTCTGTTTGCCTTGGTCTGGGAGACATCCAAGCCAGGCTCCCAGGGATCTCCATTTGCCCCTGCCATAGAGGCCAAGGTATCCCTTACCTGGGGCCAGGCTCCTGCTCCAGCCTTACAGCTCCACCTCAGGCCTCTGTTGTTGGAGACAGCTTGAGAGAGGTGAGGGAGGAGCCACTAGACAAGTTCCCTACAGGGACAAGTTGAGCAAGGGAGGCAGGGAGGGGCTGTCTGGGCTGAGTTACTGGACTCCAGAGCTGCAACCTCCTGCTTGGACCTTCCCATGGGCCTTGCCCTAGCCCTGGGCACTTCCTGCTGCACCTGCCTGGCTGGATGTGCTCAGGCAAGCCTGCCCTCCAGGAGGCACCTACAGCCCTACATATAGCCACAGCATCTCCCACTCCTCCAGGCAGGACTTTTGTGTGAGAACTAGACCTTGGGGAAAGTGACTTGCTGGCTGGGTCACCCACTTGACACCTCTACCAGGAGATGAGGCTGCTCCTGTCTCTGAAACTGGTGATGCTGTCTTTTAGCATGAGAAGCCGTGATGCAGCAAACACTTAGGGATGCTTAGAGGAAGTTGTCTCAGACTCAAGAGGTGTGGATTCTTGGACACCTGGCTGTGCCCCCACCAGCTCCTCAGGAAGCCTCCAAGTCAAGGGTGCCCAGCTGGCACTTGTCAGCCCTGGTCTGGAACCCACAGCACCTCTGGCTTGACCAGCCAGCACTTCAACCCCAACACCACCCATAACGCTGCACAGTGGGGTGGCTGCCTGATGCTATCACCATGCTGGCAGTTAATGAAGCAGCTTAAGGTCCTGTTCAGACTGGCCCCAGCCTGGCCAGCCCAGCCCCAGCAGGAATAGTGCCTCCTCTGAGGGTAGCTTGCACTTCAGGGTATTCCTGGGTGGGCATGAAGGGTATGGCCCAGCTCCCTAGGGAGAAAAATGATTAGCTATGGCTGGGGGGCCCTAGTGGCCCTCCTTGGCTGTTCCCCACCCCTGCCTGTGGAAGGCCAAGCTGGGCTATCCTGGGAGGGAAGCAGTGAGCTGTGAAGGCTACTGATGCCTATCGTGGCTGCGGCTGCAGGGACTGGCGGGGGGCCCAGGAAGGCTACGCGGGGTGAGCAGCCCTAAGCCACAGAAGGCAGGAGGCTTTGGCCACTTCAGGCAAAGCTAGCATTAGGACTGCCTGGGTGGATTCAGACCTAAGGATGTGCAGGGTCCTTTGTGCATCCCCAGTGCACTAAAACACAGGCCAGGTCATCCTGACATGTCAGCCCCTCTGTTACTCCTCCCTGGGTCCCTTGATGGAGTGTCCTCAGGCCACCCCTAGTCCCAGACTCTTTGGAATCCACAATAAGGGCTTTGAAGTTAAAATTAAACCTTAGCATGGAGTCTAGAACACTCACTGGGCTGTTTAGGCTAGGGACATTTCCTTAAGAGTGCCTGGGTTCGTATGCTGGGGACAGAAACAGGAGATCCAAGCATGACATTTGAAGATGGAGTATATTTTAATGTCCACAACTGTGTTCAATAAATAATCAAGACCTTGCTATTTCCATGTGACCCCAGAGACAAGCCTCTATCACAGGCTGGGGGAAGGGCTCTGTCCAGCACACATGCACACTGACATTGGACAGGCCTAGGGAGTGGGGCCTGGTTCAGGGAGTGGGGCTCACACATTAAGATGGCTGTGGACAGACCTCAGTACCTGGAGGGATCTGCAAGCTAGGTGTATCTTTAAGGGTCTGAGAATTCCCAGCCCCAAGATGGGTACCCCAACCACTACCAGGAATGACAGGATCCTCAGGAGCCTGGAGTGGGAGGACAGGAAGTGGGACACTGGAGTCAGCCTCACACTTGGTGGTACGGCTAGAAAAGGGCTCAAGTGCCACAGGACCCAGCATGCTGGAGGGCTCAGAGGTCCCCTTTGCCAGCATGGGGCCTGGCTTAGGCAGTCTCCAGGACTCTTCAGGGGCCTTGGTTCCCTTGGTGGGCACCCGCTTCACAGAGAGGTCCAGGGGTGTATCTGGTGGCCTTGCTGCTTGGGCCAGTGCCTGATGGATGGTAAATAGCTCACGGCGTATCTTGCCCAGCTGTTCCCGTAGAGGTCGGGGGGCTAGACCCCCAGCTGGTGTCAGCTGCCCCAAGCACTGTTCCACCCTCGCATAGTCACCAAGGGCCTGGGTCAGGTCCTCTCCCATTGGACCTGGACTTCCCAGCACTGGGCCTCGTGACTGCTGTAGAAAGAGGATTTCAGGGCCTGTGGCTTCAGGGTCATCTAGCTCCTTGTCTTCAGGCCAGAGCACCAGGGAGGAGCCTGTTGACAGGCTGAGGGATAGGAGCCAGTCAGAAGGCTGTTCTGTTCCCTACAGTACCCCCAGCCCTAGCCTGTGTCCTCTGCCTAGTGTCACCTATGTCCTAGAGAAAGGAAGAGACCCCAGTCTAGAGATGAGCATTCCCACGAACTCTATGGTGTCAAGTCCCTCTGTGGCCTAGAGTCTATATTCCTAATGAGTAAGCTCAAGATGGCCCAGCCTCCCACCCAGCCCTCCCTGACCCCTCCACCCCAGGACCCACACAGCCCATGACACCCACCTGCTCTGACATCCAAATTTTTCCAGGTTCAAGGGGGTCTTTGGGAGCTCAATCCTGTTCCCTAGGGGGAGCCTCTTCTCAGGGTCACTCTGAGCAGTTCCTTCCAACTCTCCCTCATGCCTTAGATCCCTGGAAATGCCATGGGACCAGGGCCCTCCTAGCCCTGGAACAGGCACTTTGAGCAGCCCAGAAGCAGGCAGAGCCCCAGGAGGCCCTTTGGGGAGCACAGAGGGTTTGGCAGGGGTGGCTCTGCCTGCTGGCAACCCCAGGCTGTGCTCTAGGAGCAGTGGGTAGTACAGGCGGGGGGCCAGGGCTGGGCGCTCTGGTGTCTGAGGGGCTGGGAAGGCTGCTGGGGGCAACAAAGGGCTAGCTGAAGCCAAGAAGGGCATGTGGGCCGCAGCAGCCGCCAGTGAGGGCCCCAGATAGGAGAAGAGGCCAGGGCCAATAGGGTAGTTGACACCCAGCAGTGATAGGTGGAGGCTCTGAGCCTCAGGGAATTCACCATGGGCAGGTGGCGGATAGCAGGGGACACTCTCAGAGCCTGCTGAAGCTACAGTTCCCAGACCTCCACTTATCAGACCACTACCCAGACCTGGCTTCCATGACTCTGCCAGGAGGCCACTGGGGCCTGGACCCTTCTGGATGGTCCTAGTCAGAGGGGGCAGTGACCCTGGGGATCTCTCAGGCCCAGATTTGGAGTCCCTGCCACAACGACGCTGGGAGAAGCTTTCAGTGACAAGGAGGTCTGACACAGTGGGCTGGCTACCAGGGTCTGAGAGACCTGTGGGGTGGTTGGGAGTGGGGGCCTGGGGCCTGGGTGAGGAGGACATGCGGCGGCATGCCCAGTCAGGGGAGTCCAGCAGCAGAGAGAGGGAGTCTTTGCAGAGGCTATACTTCATGTGGTTGTAAAGGTGTGACTTCTCCAGGCAGGTGAAGGGACACTGGAAGCACTTATAGTTGTAGGGTTTGCCCCAGGGCCGTGGGATGTAATGTGGCTTCTTGGGCTTCCGTGACCGTGCCCTCGCCCCAGTGCCCACACGGCATGAGCCTGCTTCCCAAGACATGGCAGGCTGCTAGTGGGCAGGCCCAGGCACCATGGCCACCTGCAGACAGGGGAGAAGGGGGACTCAGTTAACACTAGGCCCTGTGACTCTCTGCTCTTCTTCACTGGGACTCCCTACATCAGAACCCAAGAAGCCCCTATTTGCCTTGCCTTGAGCCCCTTGACTTTTGCACTGCAAGACCCCTCTTTCATTTTTTTTTTTTTTTTTTTGGTCTTTTTGAGACAGGGTCTCCCTGTAGCCCCAGCTGTCCTGGAACTTGCTATGTAGACCAGACTGGCCTTGAACTCACAGAGATCCGCCTGCCTCTTCCTCCCGAGTGCTGGGATTAAAGGCGTGTGCCACCATGCCCGGCTATCCTTCCTTTTTTGAGACAGGGTTTCCCTGTAGCCCCAGCTGGCCTGGAACTCACTGTGGAGATCAGGTTGATCTTGATTTCAGAGATCCTCCTGCACTGCCTCCCAAGTGCTGAAATTAAAGGCATGCATTACCACAGCCAGCGACCCCTCATTCTCTTGGGAGGGGACATGGTGGTGCATGCCTGTAATCCCAGAATTTGGGAAGCTGAGACATGGGGATTGCTGTGAGTTCCAGGTCATTCTGTGTTATAGAGTGAGATCCTGTCTCAAAAATGAAAAGAAAAAAGAAAATGGAGGGCACTTAGACAATTCTGATCCAGGAGGATATCAGTAAGTTTGTAACATAAGGGTGGTCTAGGGAGTACTTAGAAATTGTGCTAGGAAAATATTCACTAGTCATCTGAAATTAAGTTTAACTGGGTAGTCTGTATTTTATTTAGCAGGCGATTCTGTACAAATCCCCACTGCAGAGGCCAAGCTGACCCTGAAGGCCAATTTCTGGGATAACCAGTCTCCATCTAGTCTCTATTCCTTGTACCAGGCAGGTACCCACTGAGCATTTGGTAAGAGACTGAAGCAGCCGGTGTGAATAAAGCCACCAATCTGATGCCCTCCAGAGATCCTTTCTTGGTTGAGCCACCTGCCCCTGTAAGAAGCTGAAGCAAAGCACTGAGATGAGAAACCAACAGAGGCTTTAAGGTCTGCTAACACTGTGTATGTGTGTGTGTGTGCACGCATGCATGTGTGCATGCATGTGCACATGTGAATGCGTGTGTGCATGCCTGAGTCATCAGTGGGATGTAAAGTGGGCACGGGGGGGTGTCTCTTGAGGGGTCAGCTGCACAGGAGGCCAAGCCAGGCTGAGGGGAGTGGATGTCACAGTATGGCCCCATGGCAGAGCCACCTGCTCAACCCAGCTCCATCTGGGTGGCTTCAGGCAGGTCAGCGACCAATCCTGCAGTGGCCATGCTCAGCCAAGACCCTTTCTCCCTATGCCCCGCACGCTGGCTCAGAAGCTTCTCTTCACTCCATCTGGGCCACCACCTGGGCTGTCCACTACCCCAGAACTCTTGCCTGTATGTGGTGCATGGTATGTGTGCACACAAGCTTCAGGTAGGTGCATGCAAGCATGCAAGACTCCCAAAGAGTCCTAGCTCTGTGCCTGGAGGAACAACCTGTGCATGGCTGTGCTAACCAGGGACAGGGTGTGTCACCAAGGGCACACACATCCATTCCATTTTCCCCCAAAATGGACATGGCTGTTTATCCACAAGACTATACCCACAGCACACACCATGCCTGGGGACACATACAGACACTTGATCATAGACTCATTGTAGATACAGACACATATGTGCCTCATGATTCGAACAAGACAGGGATGGGGGTGGAAGGCAGTTGCTGAACTCGGCTTTCTTCTGTGCTGCACATTACATTCTTCCACAAAAGACCAGGTTAGCACCTGTTAGGTAAGTGGCTAGAAGGGTGAAAAGCACTGCATGCCAGAAGGCTTGGGACCATATAGGGGGTTCACATGACCAGGCTGGGCTGTGGAGGTGAGCAAGTAGAAGCTGAAAGAGACTCCAAGGTTGGGTGGAGGGTGCTGGCTCAGGAAAGGATCTGGGGCTTCCTAAGGGGCTGCAGACCCAGCTTGGACTTGGCATCTAAGCCCCTTCTCCCTACCCACACTCCCCCGACAAGATGTTATGACAGATAGGCATGTGTGCTCAAACGGCAGAGGCGTCTGTGCCAGGGCCATCGATCACGGAGCCCTGGGAGCCACACAGCTGTGCCGATTGGTGCTGCCGCCCAACCCACCTCTTAGCTGGGACTGGGGGCTCCTCGTGGGTCCCTGGACTTCGAGGTTAGGGCTCCTCCTATGCTTCCCCTCTAGACCGGGCACCAGAGGTGCTGACCCCTCCAAGACCCACCGCAGTGCACCCCCCCCACATTAGCCACATGCATACACAAAGACAGTCATGCCCCCCCAGCACCTCAACCTAAGACTAAGCATTTTGTACCCTGGCTGCTGGAGAAGAACGAATGGCTGGAGGGACAACTTGGGGCCTGAATCACTGAGCAGCCCGCAGAAGATCACAGCCCACCCATTCGTTCGCCCTCTTGGAACTCAGTGCCCTACCTGGCTGGGTGCAGGAGCTAGGGCCAGGGACCCTGGGCTGAGGTGGGCCAGCTGGGAACACTAACACGGTCCTCCTGTCCTCCCCGCTGTAGGCGCCGCCCTGATGATTAGCGCCTGCCCTTGATGATCCCTCAGGGTGCTGGGATCATCCGCAGCCCTTTTCAAGCAGTTCGTCCAGAGCCCCAACTTGCGGGGAGCGCCGCCCGCCCGCCTTACCGCGTCCGCAGAGCCGAGCCTGCAGCATCCACCAAGTGTGCGCCAGGTCGCACGAAGGGGCAAACTTCCCACTTGCGGACCCTGAGGGAAACTACGGCCCGGAGCTAGAAGCAGTTAGTGACTCCCGGATGTAGCCGCAGCCGCTGCTTGCCGCGTCCCCCCGACGCCGACTCGCCGGCGCCCACAGAAGTTGGCGGCGAAGCGCGTGCGCCACAGCGCTGGCTCAGGAGCTCAGCGACCTCCGACCGGGCTGGGCGCGGGAGGCGGGACAGCCTCAGCCACAGCCAGCTCCCACTTCCTCGCACGCCGCCCAGCACACTCACCCGACGCACTGGGACCGCTCCTGGAGGGAACGAGGCCGGAGCCGCGGCAGTGCGGCCAGAGCCTGGAGTGGCGCTCAGGTGCCGGGCGAGTGAGGGGCGCCTGACACCGTCCCCGCCCCCGACGCCTGCAGGCTGCCGCGGGGGTGCGCAGAGGCAGCCAGGTCTCCCGGGTCCCTGCAGCAGCAAGAAGGGGCGTCAGCATGCATCCATCAGAGGGCTCTGGCCCCTGACAGCCGCCTGTCCTCCCAAGCCAGGGCCCCGGGGCTGAGCCCTAGGAGAGGGGGCTTCCAGAACCATGAGGGGCCAAGCCCAGAGCTCAGGTGGTGGAACCTATGCCTGCGTCCTTGCCAGCTCTCCCTGGGCAAGCAGGCACTTCTGTGTAGTTCCTGTACTCCAAACTGGACGCTAAATGGCTCTATGTCTCCCATGCCTGGCCTTCGATGGCCACTGCCTCAGACTGGTCACTATGCATTGACACCCACTCCCAGAAGCATCATACCATCCTCAGCTCTCACTCCCCACTTCCTGGGAGAGTCCTCCGTGTTTCAGGACAGGTCTACTGTCCGCGCCTGCTGTCTCAGGGGGCCTCTTTCCCGCTGGTGGTTCCTCTTGGGAGGACTGTGGGATGAAGAGCAGCCCAGGAGGATTTAGAATCCTCAGCACACCATGAGCACCAGAAATTCCCTCTCCATAATGTCCTCGTGGCCAGAGCTGCTACTGGGATGTCATTACTCTGAGATACTGATCCCACTTCTAACCAGGTCTCAGGGAAATTTGCCTAACTGGTCAGTTCTAGAGGGGTATATGGGCATGACATGGACAGACTCAGATAACATCGTTCTCTGGAGTCTGCCTGTGACTTGAGGAGGACACTTTAACCCTGAGATATGCTATGTGGCATTTCAGGCATGGAGACAGCAGACCCAAGGATGATTGCTGCCCCAGGCCTGCCCTGTAGAGACATAGAGGACAGTTGACTCCTGGGGATCTAGGGCTCCCTCAGGTCACCTGCTCTTGAGAACTGTCCAGCTCAGAGCTTGTCACCCCCTGGATGGAGTAGCTGTAGGGTACAGGGCACCCAGAGTCCAGCACCTCTGGCCGTGTCTGTGTGGCACTGGTGATATCCAGGGCCCTGTTACTGACCAGGGCCCACAGGATAGTGATCAAGGAGCAGGGCCCCTCCATTCTAGTTTCCTCCCTTTTTTGAAAAGCAGCCCACCCCCTTTTGAGAGACATTCAGGGCTGGGAATGGTGCTATGGACAACACAGCATGGCAACCTTCTCTCTGCTTGCCTGCCTGGCCCAGCTGACCAGCTGACTGTGCAGGTGGCCTGGGGCCAGGGAGACAGCTTGGGTGGCCACTATGCCAACAGCTCTGGGCCCAAGAGACAAACCCATCAAGGGCACTGACCAGAGAGGCCGGCAGGCTCAGGTTACTCTGGGACAAGGAGAGTGGGGACCCTAGGTCTTGACCCCTGAATCTCAAGGACATCTCTGTACTCCCTAGTCCCTTTCTGGGAGTGGAAAGACAGTCCCTATCTGACAACACCAGGGATGGGCAGGCTGTGGCCACTGTCCAGGTAAATTCTGGCATCACCATACAGGAGTAAAGCCCAGAACAGCTCAGGCAACTGAGCCTGTGGTCTCCAGGAGAAATTCAGAGATGTACCATGTGGCATTTCAGGTGTGGGGTCTATAGGCTTAGGGGTGATCACTGCTTAGACCAACTCTATGAAGGTACAGAGAGGGGAGGTGGCCAGGACATGTTGGTGTCAAAAATGAGAAAAGCAGCTGGGTGTGGTGGCACATGCCTTTAATCCCAGCCCTTGGGAGGCAGAGGCAGGCAAATCTCTGTGAGTTTAAGGTCAGCCTAGTCTACAAAATGAGTTCAGGCCAGCTGGGAGACCTTTTCTCAAAAAGACAAAAAAAAAAAAAAAAAAAGAAGCAGGAGCTAGAGGGGACCATGTATCATACAGTGTCCCCCTTTCATGGGCTTTTGTAGAAGTTTGGGTGAGTGAAAAAGGGGGCGGAAACACCCAACCTAAGGATATCACCTGGACATTTTTCTGGCTTCTTAGGAGAATGCGTGAGCTCTGGAATTGTTCGTGGGGGGTCTGGAAAGCTTGGTATGGATGACCAGCCCCTGCCTTCTGTCCAAGGGGCTCCCAGGCAGAGCTAACCCCTCATGGTGGTCTCTTCCTTTCTTTCCTCAGGTCATAACTCCTCAAGGGCCTTCCCTCATACCATAGGGCAACCTTGGGCTATAAAGAGGTGGCTCTACCTCCTGACCAGTGACTGAGACCCTCAAGATTTTGCTTTCAAGCTTGTCACCAGGAGCCTGAAAATTTGCCTGTACTCCGTAGGCAGCAGCTCTCTCAAGAGCAGAGACAGCCCCAGTCTAAGGTTGTTCCTGGCTCTGATAAGGTCCTCTACTAGGACAGGACCTGGTGTTCTTTCCTGGTGTAGGCCCTGCCTCTATCCCAAGCTGGAGGCTTATTTCAACCATTAACCTTCTTTGCTTGATCTGCCCATGGCTGCCCACCTGTCACCTCCATTAGTGTTGGCCCTGCCTATGCTGAGGGCTTGTAGGCTGGATGAAGAGCCTGGGCTCTGCACTGTCTCATTCCCTCAGTGTTTCATCCCTCACTAGGACAGGTATGGGCTAAGCCAGCTTGCACCCACCAGTGGGCAGAGGGACAGAGGCTGGAGCCAGACAGGGTCTAAAGTCCATGCACAGAGGGGTTCCATGGAGTGGTAGCAACTTTGAGGCCCCAGAGGTAGTCAGCAACACACAGAACATCTGGCCGTGGTTTATTTTGTACTTTACTGATGAGCACAGGACACAACAGCATCTAGAGTTCATGTGAGACCACTGGATGCAAGGAGCATCCTTGGGGTTTCACTTCTTTTGCACATTCCAAGTGGCCTCAGAGACTATGTAGGCTAGGAGAGACCAGCCAGGTCTTGACTATAGGGATAGGATCATGCTTGAAGTTCTGTACCAGTTGGAGGCTGCAATCTTTATGGTCTCAGGGAACCACAGCAGGTACATGGCACAGGAGGTGACAGGGCCTGGTGGCTAAGAAGGCAGGGAGAGCCTAGGTTTAGGAGGGTGGAGCAGAGGCCTGGCCCATACTGGGGGCACACAGAGGCCTGGGGAATCTTCTTCCTGGGGTCTGAGTGGTCCATTCCTGGATATGCTGGCTTATTCACCAACCTAAGGTAGGAAAGATCTATGCTGGGGAACTGGATGGATAGAGACTCCAGTGTTCCCTGAAGGATCCAAGGCAGTTGTGTGTGTGTGTGTGTGTGTGTGTGTGTGTGTGTGTGTGTGTAGGGATGGGGGGGATGTTGTGAGCTCTGTCATGGAGGTATTCCAGCTAAACAGGAATCTCTTCAGATGGAGCAGCCAGGCAGGTGGGACAAGAGGCTCAGGCCTCCCAAGCCCCCATTTAGTCTCTGAGCCTGGAACTGGTTGAGCAGCTCCTGGGGCCAACAGCAGCCATATGTTGGGAAGAAGAGCTGTGTGTGTTGCTCTGCGGCCCCCAGGGCCAGCCTTCCCAGGCCTGTCACAGATGATTTTTCCTGCTTCAATGGCAGGCTGGCTGGCGGGGCAGCAGGGGTCTATGAGCTGGCCCTATGTCTAGGCCCCTCCACCATTCTCAACACCAGTGTTTGCCACTTTTGGGGTAATCCAAGAGCTGGGCTTCAGCTTTGAATCCCTGAGACTCTCACTGAATGCCCCCTATTGTGGGCACCTTTTTTGGCTCAAAGTTGGGGGTTCTTTAGAAGATTCCTGGCTGGTCAGTGAGGATGAGCCTCCTTGGATGTGGGTGGTGGTCAGGGGTCCACATCAGGCTGCTGTGCGCCCCAGGCAGGTGGAAGAAGGCCGGGAGCTGCTGCCCTGTCAGCCCAGCGCCCAGAGCTGTGTTCGGGGAGGCAGGGAGACCATGGCTAATTTGTACACTAAGTGCTTCTGACAGGGATGCCTCACAAGTGAGAACATGCCACCGCCCGCCCTGGGAAGGCTGCAGCGGCTAGCAGTGACAACAGTGGGGCCAAGAGAAAGGGCCACGGGGGCACAGGGCCAATGAGCACCAGGGATTTGGGGAGATGCAGGCCAACAGGTTGATGGCATTGGCAGGGCGAGTGAGAGGAAAAATGTGATGTGAGAGGTGGATATCTAGGAAGCTGGAAGGAACCCTGTGAAATGGTCAGACAAGGGGGCAGGGCCTCTTACAGCCCTGGTACCCACTCCTTGCTTCAGTGACTAGTCCTGTTACTCTCTTGGACTTTGGGACCACCCTGCTCAGGACAGTCTATTCCAGTCTAGTCTAGCCTGCTGATGCCATGGTGTGTGAAGTCTATTGCCCAGAACAGCCTGGCCATCTTCTTCCTCCTGGCCCCTCACCCTGAACTGAATCAAAACCTCAGCAGTTTTTTTGAAGAGCCCTGGCCTGCCCAATACAAGCCAGAGTCTTGTTTATGTGTCCCCCAACGCCTCTCTGGATGACCCTTTACCCCTCCTCCCCCATGTGCTAGGGTCCTAGGGGAGGGGAAAGTGTTTGCTAGGAACACACAGTAGGTAGGCATGCAGCTGCTGGCTTGCTGTGGACCTTATTTGGCCATGATACCAGAGTCATGAACTGCCTCTTGAGCTGTCCTGATCTTAAGCTGCAGAGGCCAGAGTGGTGGGCATCAGTTAGATTGGCCAGAGAAAAGGGGATTTCCAGAGGACCTGGGGTCCTCAGCTGCCAAAGATGTCCAGGGGTGGACAGAACTGGTTCCTGCTACATGTATGGGTGGGTGCCGGTCTGGCCCCTACCCTGCAAGAGAAGGTCCAGCTTGGCACACAAGCTGCATGGGGCAAGGAAGGCGATGTGGGTGGTGAGGTGAGATGTATTGTGGCAGCTGCCCCGCTGCCTGAGGCCTGCCTGGAGCGAACACTGCTGGTGGCTTTAATTGCTTTCACATTCGATGGGCTGGCCTGTGACAGGCCTCTTACACAGTGCACTCTAGCCGTGAACCCCCAGCCCCCGCTCGCCCAGGGGCATCCTCCAGCCCCTGAAGGGGCCTGGGCTGCTGGACAGAGATGGGCTGAGCAGCTTAGTGTCACCTGTGATATGAGCCGAGCCCAGTTTACACCAGGCTGGGAGGGGACACAGCACACCAGCCAGGGAGAAGCATCAGCCAGTCACTCACCCTCTGGCTCCATCTGCTTCCTCTTGGTGACTGATGGGTCCAGACAGCCCTTATGCCCCCCACCCCCCAATGCAGGCGGGAAAAAGCCTTGCACACAGTCCTGCTCATACCATGTTGGTCTTACCTGGTTGTGGGGCTAAGATCCCAGGGTCTACCTCCAGCCTGTCTCTGGGGTGACCTCAAGCAGAAAAGCAAGGGCAGTCACCTCACAAACCCTAGTGCCCTTCAGCATAGCTTTACTCAAGAGACCCCCCCCCCCCCCTGGCCTTTGGAATAGCAGACAGGAGGCTCCCTTACAAAACAAAATGCTTTTATTTGGTCCTTGGAGCCTGAGTGGAAACCACCTGTGGAGTCATCGAACAAGGAAGGGACTGACAGCTGATAAAATAGTCTCTGTGTTCGAAGAGCTGGTCCTATTTACAGGGTTAAAAATATTCACAGCTCAGAGTAAAAGGAGGCCCAGAGGGGAGGGGAATGTTTTTCTAGGTATAAAAACCCTTGCAAGCCCCATGGAGATGAGGACAGTGGGTATGCAAGTTGCCCACTACCTAGGGACTGCAGGACAGTGGCAGCCAGGTGGGGGACCCAAGAAATGTCTCAGGTGTCTCAGGGTTCTGGTCTTGACAAGCAGCTGGGGGACACTTAGACAGGTGGGCAGCTCTCAGATTCCTGGTTCCGGGGAGGAAGGAGCCACACCTTACATGTGCCTGTGATGGGGCTGTTGGTCCCTCTCTGTGGACAGACTGAGGCCACAGGTCAGGGATGATGGTGGTGAGGGGTACTGAGGACAAAGCGCTTTTCCAGACAGCAGGGCTGGGCCTGGTTCCTGACCTGCCGCCCCATCATGGCTTCGATCCTGGCAGGTACGCCAGGAATTGCATAGTGTTTGCAGGAGGGGCTGCTGTCCCCAAGCCCTGGCTAGTGGCCACCAGGCATCTGCTTCCTGCAATCTGCTGCTCATGTGCCAGGGCTATCAGGACCCTGCTCACTGGGGCAGGAAGCTGGGCTTGAGGACACACCAAGGGGAGAAATAGCAGATCTGAGTCCCATAAGGGGTTGCTCAGGCTCTCAAGGCAGGATCATGGTCTCTGACTCCCAGATTTGGTTCTGTGAATAGATATCTGGGCTGCATCTCCATGGCAGGGGATCTCACATTCACAGAGAATGGCAGACCCAGCTGGGCCCTGGCCACCTGAAGCTGTCCCCAGGCTCAGGATAGAAGGACTGGAATTCAGCCCACCTGGCTCGAGGTATTCTGCATGGTGGCTGGGAGGCCTGGTGGGGGACTGAGGGTGGTTGGGGTAGGGGAGGGAGGCCCAGGGGAGGCTGCACCCTGTGGCTGGTGGCTCCCTGGGCAGGGTCCTGAGATTCTGGTTCAAGCATCCTCCATTGGGGTCTCCCTCTTAAAGTGCATGTGGTAGGGCAGTTGGGTGGATCTGCACACAGCCCCTGCCAAGGGAACTGCAGTCACAGTGGCCGGGGTCCATGCAGGCCAGCCACCTCAGGTGTGAGTGGGGGGCTGTGAGTGCCCCTAGAGGCTGTCCAGTCGCTGAGGAAGGCCTGGGCTGCCTTGCGGTGTGCCAGGCGGTGGGTGATAGAGAATCCAGCATTGCCCTCCAGCTGGGACAGGATCACCAGGACCTGCCTGGGGGAGATGACTGATGAGGACCAGTGGGAGACCAGGGCCTATAGTGGGGTAGGGCAGGTACCCACCTGTGTAGGGGTGGCACACTGTCTTGAGTGCGCAGGCTGCCACGTGTGGACACCACATTGAAGCTGTCAGTGCAATCACATTGCACATGCAGGTAGGACTTTGGGTGCCGGTTTTCTACCACCACGATGAGCCCCGCCCAGCCATGGGTCAGGTAGTAGCAGGTCATGCCCTCACGGCCCTGGGCACAGGCACAGGATGGGTGGGCTAGGGCTGGTAGATGCCCACCCACTGCCCACCCCCACAAGGACCCCACCCACCTCATGCCGCTCGCCCCGGCTCTCAGTGAGCAGGATGATGGCGTCGGCCAGCGTGGTTGACTGTGCCTCCACTGGTTCCACCATGACCAGCCTGGAGCTGTACACTGCGAGTACGTGGCCGGGTGGCTCGAGGGTACCTCGGGGGACCCCTGCCAAGGGGATGGAGGCTGTGGGGTGTGTGGATGAGGGAGCCAGCAGCCTTCCTGTGGATGGGCTTTGGGGCTCAGAGAGTGGGGAGATGGGTGTGGGCCTCATCTGGCTGGGGCCCTTACCCTGGGTGGGGGGCCCTGGTGGGGCAGGGCTCCAGTGGTTGAAGGCACAGCACACCACAGCATACTCGCCAGGCTCCAGCATGACATCACAGTTCACGAACTTCTTGACAGCACGTTTACTGTGGGCCAAGAGGCGACCTAGGCTCAGGCGGCCACCACTGCCAAAGGTGGCCCGGAACACAAGGATGCACAGATCTAGCAGGTGGCTGTCTACTGTATCTGAGCGCCTGTGGGACAGAAATAAGAGGCTGGGGGCTGGTGTGGCTATAGCCATCAGCTCCTAGCTTGGTGTGCCCCACCTGTTGCCCACCTGCTGCCTTCTTGGAAGAGAGCAAACTCCAGTGAGGCACGCTCCAGCACTGTGAGTGCTGTTACACCCACTGGCCCACTGGCTGTGCTTGGGAAGCAGCCCTGAACCCGTGCTTCCTGCCAGTCTGAATGCACCTTGCAGATGTCCACAGAGTCGAAGTACCTAGGCAGTGAGGAAAAGGGCCACTGAGAAGAGTGCAGCTCTATGTCCCAGATCTGGGATGCAGTACTCATCCTATGGTCCTTTGCTGCTCAACTAGTACTCACACTGTATGCCTTACTGTTCTCTTGAAGCCCTGCCCACCCACCTGTTCTGAGTCCTTGGTATGTCTCTGGGACAGGTTCTCTCAGCAGGAAATACTGGTCCTGGCTGTTGTCCTATTGTGGTGCCCAAGTGTTGGGATTACAGATATGTGCCACTATGCCTGCTAATTTCTACTTTTATTATTATTTTTGTCTTTTTTGAGACAGGGTCTCCCTGTAGCCCCAGCTGTCCTGGAACTCACTATGTAGACCAGGCTGGCCTTGAACTCACAAAGATCCACCTGCCTCTGCTTCCCAAGTGCTGGGATTAAAGGTATGCACCACCATGCCCGGCCTACTTTTATTATTTTAAAAAATATTTATAGGCCGGGCGTGGTGGCACACACCTTTAGTCCTAGTACTTGGGAGGCAGAGGCAGGTGGATCTTTGTGAGTTCAAGGCCAGCCTGGTCTACATAGTGAGTTCCAGGCCAGGTGGGACTACAGGGAGACCCTGTCTCAAAAAGATCAAAAGAAAAATTATGTATTTTTATTTTATGTGTATGAATATATTGCCTGCATGTAAGTGCACCTGTGTCATGCAATGTTAGCAGAGGTCAGTAGAGAGTGTTGGAGTCCCCTGGAACTGGAGTTATGGACTGCTGCTTGTTATGTGTTGTGTGGGTGCTGGGAATTGAACCTGGGTCCTCTGCAAGAACAGCCTGTGCTCTTAACCACTAAGCCATCTCTCCAGTCCCCCATTTCTGCATTTACGTATGTATGTATGTATGTATGTATGTATGTATGTCTGTTTTGAGACAGGGTCTCCTTGTAGCCCCAACTGGTCTGGAACTCACTATGTAGACAAGGCTGGCCTCAAACTCACAAAGATCCGCCTGCCTCTGCCTCCCCAATGCTGGGATTAAAGGCATGTGCTATCACACCTGGCCATTTCTGCTTTTAAGTTGTTCTTCTCAAGTGTTTGTTAAGGTGTAAGCCGACTGATATATGTTTCCTGAACATCACAGGAGTAAGAATGACACACGTAAACCCTGCTGCCTGTAGACCTAATCTCCTCGGTCAGTTCAAGAGCTGCCATTCAGAGCCCCACAGACCTGGGACACAGACAAGCAGCTTGCCCAGACCAGTTCCCAGAGACAGGTACCTGATAAAGTCACTATATTCCATCCAGAAAACACCCTCGCTGCTACCATGTGGCATGAGCTCTGCTCGCAGGTGTCCTGGCCAGTGAGGCCACTCATCCGACCAGCTGCCATTCCAGGAGAACCGGCCCCATGGGTTCCGAAGTCTCAGGAGCCTGTGGACCATAAGACTGAGGACCAAGATTGTGCCCTGTGTCCAGATACTTGTCGACACTCAGCCAGTTAGGTCCCTACCTGGAGCCCTGTACATCACGAACATCCAAGATGGAGTAAGCATGGCGGGGGCGCAAGCCCAAGTTCTCGTAGGCAGCATCGTCCACCTTCATGTTGCCTCCTCCACAGGAAGCACCCATGAGGAATCTGTGTGAACAGAGTGGCCCTAGCTGATGGAGTGGATGGGTGGGGGGTGGGGGTGGGACAGAGGGGAGGAGATACAGACTCCCTGAACTTGGGAGTCACAGTCTGGGATTCACATGACATATTTTCAGGAAGTGCAGCGCACTCTGCCTAAGCTCAAAGGACCTGGCTGGGATAAAAGTTGGATTCTGGAGGCTCAGATCCCAGTGGTGGGTGGGGTGCTGCCCAGGTTTAGCTGTAGATAAGGATCTTAGCATCTTCTCCCAGACCTACAGCTTTTGTAGGTCTTTAGGTCTAGATTCTATACTAGGCCTCGGAAGGGGGGGTGGTCAAGACTCACAAAACTAACTACTAGGATGTGGCACCTCTCAGAACACCTCCCTCCACTCCTCAGGACCCCTCCATGGATTCTGGCCTGCCTTTTCCTAAGTGGGAGGTTACAGGGTCTTGGCTCTTCCCAGGGTGGCCACTTGGAGCAGGATGTGGCTCTTCCCAGGGTGGACACCTGGGGCAGTCTAGCTAGGCATCTTGGCTATGGCCAGCTTGCACCAGAGCACCTTGTGAGATGCAAAAGCAGTCAGACGGCACTGCCTCCTGTTTTTCCCACCTCTCCGCCTCTCCTCTCCTCCCAATGCGGCAGACCATGGCAGCGCCCGCCCCTCTTACCCAGCCTCCTTAGAACTCAGCATTTTGGCCCAGATGAGGTCAGTGTCAACAGGTTCCTCTCGGGGGTTAGTGGAGCTGACCTGCAGCGCCAGGCTCTCGCAGGGGGCACCAGTGAGCGTGGCCAGGCCTTCGATGGCACGCCCTGCTTGGAGGGCAAAGTAGGAGCCGTGCAGCTTGGCCAACGCCTTCTCGATGAGGGCCACCCATAACTGCTTCCGCTGTGCCTGGGGGAGGGATCAGAGTTACAGGTTGCCCTGGCCGCCACCCCAACTACTATCCAGTTGACCCACCTGTGAGAAGAGTAGAAAGCCAGCCTCATCACAGGGCAGCATGTCGTCCACCAACACTGTTGTCCATGTGCCATCCTTGCACAGTCGCACCTGGTAGGCGCCCTCTGCACATAGGCTACGTGTGATCATCACCCGCTCCACCAGGTCAGGTCGTTCAGCCAGTACTGCCAATGCGCTCAGGAACCTATATGGAGCAGACAACCTCATCAGATGCCCACGGCTGAACCAGAAAGCTTCCCATTCTCCTCTGAGCCTGTCTGACCCTGACAGAAACCTGGAGCCTCACCAGCAGTTCCCCAGCAGCCCCTGCAGGATGTCGGAGGGCCGCAAGGTGTGGAAGACTGACCACGGAGTGCCGTGGTCCCTGAAGACAGAGCAGTTGATTTCATGGGGCCGCAGCCACTGTTTCACTCGTTGCTGGACGCTGTCACCCGCTGGGAAGCCAACAGATGCAGGGCCGGGGGGGAAGCTGTCATCCACAAAGTTCACACTATTCTGCAGGGACCATGGTCAGACACTCAGGCTGGGTAGAGCAGCCTCAGGCCCGGAATGATCCCACTCTGCCTTTTGGGACAAGACCCACCCTCCGAAAGGAGCTTCAGAAGGTTGGTGTGGGGCCCTTGTGCAGCATACTAACCTTGGTGCTAGGCCACTCTGACCTGTGTGAAGGGCTCACCATTAGGATGATCCTGAGTGGGCATGGGGACACATGGCCATCAGACCATGGCACTGCAGGCCAGTGACAAGCAGCTGCAGTAAGCATGTGAGCCTGCGAGATGGCATAGTTCCAGCTGCTCCTCCAGCTGACCCAAGGATAAGGTCACCCAGGGCTTAGGCTCCGCAATTCAAAGGGACAGAACACAAAGTGTCTTGGCCTCCATGCTACCCTGAGCAGGGCAACCTCACTGTATCCTCACCTCTCTGTGGGCTTACATATAGGGGATCAGGGATCTTCCTAAGCATGTGGGCAGAGGGGGTGTGACATGAATGGTGGAGGTGAATTTCCAAGGTAGCTCTCAGCCTCGGAAGAGGTTACTCACCTCCTGGCAGAAGGCCACGATGTTCTCCCAAAGTGCCTTGGCTTCACCCTCATCTGTCTGTCTCCGCTTCTCCACATGCATGCTCTCCCGGCGCCTCAGGGGTGTGGCCCCCCGACGCTGGGCCACCAGAAGCTGTGGTGTATGGCAGGCCGCACAGTGCTTGGCCCGAGGTGTGTTGATCAGGGTGCAGGCAGGGCAGGCCCACTGGCCCAAGCGATCAGGCAAAAGGCGGGCAGCCTTGTGGGAAGAGGGAGCTCGTTCACAGCATCCAACACAGGGGCCAGGCTTGTTGGTGCCACAGTCGGGGCAGTGAGCAGGGGGCTCACTGTGCTCCTGGAAGCCATGTAGCTTGGAGCAACCGCATGCTGAACACCTGGGGGCTGTTGTGGGGTTCCTGAGTGTGCACTTGGCACACGACCAGGTGGTGAAGTCGGGGCTGGAGGGGCTGGCAGGTGTGTAGCGCACAGTGTCTCCAGCTAGGTCAATGACATCACTGCACGCCTCACAGCGGGCCGGGCTGCTTTCTGGGCCCTCCTCCTCCAGTATACTCAGTCGCTTGCCTGAGAGCAACTCCTTGCCTGTGAGCAGCTCTGCTAGGCGGGAGGGCCCAGGGGCAGACCTGCCTGGACCTTGGAGGTACCCTTTGGAGCTTGTAGTAGGCGAGGACTGAGCAGCTTCAGGACCAGGTGGCTGAAGCTGGGGGGGGACCTCCCTGCGGCTTCGGGGCACAGGGTTATTCTGCAGGGTGGGTGAGAAGGGGCTAAAGGGTGGTACCCTGGGGGGCTCCTGTTCAGTGGAGGGACCCTGGCTGGTAGAAGACTCAGCCTCAGTACCTCCCCCAGGGAGGACAGGCTGGGATGGAGCAGGAACAACATGGAAGCCAGTAGGGGCAACAACCTCAGGAACCACCAGGGCCTCTGGGGGGATGCGGGGTAATGACAGTTTCCGGGGTCCCCCACAGGCAGAGCAAGAGCTGGCAACTGGCGTGTTATGTAATGTGCAGCGCTGGCAGGCCCAGCCACTGCCAGGCTCTGTCCCTTCCCCTTCGTCTTCCTGTTCCTTCTTTTCCTCCTGTTCCAGGTGCCCCCTGGCTGGCTCCATGGCTACAAGCCCTGCTGTCCGCACTGGGCCTGCCTCCTCCTTGCAGCTGCCCTTTGGTTCCACCAATATGGTGGGTGGCTTGGGCAGGACCCCATTGATAATGGGAAGCAGAGGGGCTCCAGGAACAGGCTCTGGGGTGAAGCCGCACACTTCACAAGCCTCTTTGCCCAAGAAGTTCCGGAATGTGCAACGTGCGCAGGGCCATTTCTGCTCCTCTACGCTGAGCCGCAGAATCTGGTCCAGGTCTGGCTTGTGCCGGGGGGCCTCACAGATGGAGCACTGGCGCTGGCCGGCTGGGTTCAGGAAGGTGCAGCGCGCACAGGACCACTCCCCGACTGTGGCCATAGACCCAGGAGAGTGTGTGTGGCTGCAAGGGAAGGATCTGATCAGTGTGGCATCTGTGAGGCCTGTGATTACAGTGTCCCAAGGCCAATGGGACACCACCTTCCCATGGAGGGTACCTAGGCCTGTTGTAGGTGGATGGCTACAGATGTAGGAAGTGTGGCCAACTTGAGGTCAGCCATGTTCTGTTTGGAGTTCAGGAGGTCCAGGGGGTAAGGTGTTAGGGTAGCCATCAGACAGAGCAATCCAAGCCTCTGCCGGGTGTACATTTTCGGTTTTTATAGCCCCCTCACCAATAAGGGGCATAGCAGACCCCTTGAGCCTTAATTCTGGGGCAACACCAGAGGTTGAACCTATATGGGCCTATATGTTCCCTGTGGGCTTGGCATACCACTAAGTTTGTAGCAGTGTGGAAGTGAGTACTGGAAAGCTGTGTAGATCTTTCCTGGAAGGGTCACCTGAGCATAGTGAGGCTACATGATAGACATAGGGTAGACATGCCTGGAGGCTGAAGCTATGAGGTCTACACCTTGCACCATCCTAAGGGCCTGACACATCCTTCTCAGACTTTGGGACAGGATGCATAGTGCACTGCAAGGAGTGCAGCCTCTGTGCTTAAAGGGAGGTTTTTGGGCTCCTGCTCTGACTGCCTGCCCCCAGATTGTGCCCCTGTTCCTCTAAGGTAGATGGAAAGGGTATTGGGCCTCATGGCAGGGCTGAGCCACAAAGGCATCTCTACAATCCCTATCTCTTAAACTGACTGTAGCTGCTCTGCCTCCAGGAAAATCAATTGTTCTTTACAACGAAGCACGAAACTCATGCTCCTAACTCTTTTGAATCAGGAAGAAAGAAAAATCCTCCTCCAGAAAAAACACTCTCCCCAGAAAAAAATGACTGTTGCCTAAGGTCCAGAGTCAACTCTAATTCCACCTGCCTGTGTAGGCTGGGTACCCTAGGAAGGGCAGATGGAGAGGCACTTGATCCCATGTGGAGAAGCTGCTGAGTTGGCCATGGCTTTGTCCACAGTTGACAAAGCCCAAGTGGACAGAAGGGGCTCTGAGAGCCCTGGAGCAGGGACAGAGGGGCTCTGAGGGTCCTAAGGCAGCAGATAGGCAGGTGCACCTACGCTGCCTGGACCAGAGACAGCACTGACTTGGGGCTTCTGCTCAGAAAGGCCCAAACCTTACTGGAGATCACCAGACCTTTCTTTTCATCTTCCCTACTTAGAGAGGGCTTGTGGGTTAAAGCTAGAACACAGTGCATGCCAGCACAGATGAAAAAAGGCCACTACACAAGAGGACTACTCTCTCTACCTGCACATTCACTTCAGAATATAGCCAAGGGTGGGCATCCCAGAGGGCCCTGATGGGCAGCAGAGCAAGTTTAACCCTTTACAGTACACTTCCTAGTAGTCGCCTGAGGAAAGATAAGACCATGCCATGCAGGGCTACCAGGGGCTTCTCTTGGCACATTCCCTGATTCAGCTCTAGGCTCTGACTGTACAGACTGAGGAAACCTTGTAATGGTTTATCTTCACTATTAACTGGATATGGAATCACATAGGTGACCCATCTCTGGGAGTTGTCTTCAAGGGTGTTTCAGAGAGGTTTAACTCAAGAAGCAAGACCTACTCTGAACGTGGGTAGTACTATCCCATGGATTGGGGTGCCAGATCGACTAAAAAGGGGGAAAAGGAGGGCTGGTGAGATGGCTCAGTGGGTAAAGGCACTTGCTGTTAATCCTGATGACCTGAGTTTGATCCCTAGGACCCACAAGGTAGAAGAGAACTAACTTCCACAAGCTCTCCTTTGACCTCCACATGTGAGCCGTTGAGTGGCATGTGTGTAAATGTGTATATAAAATAAATAATATTTTAAAAAGGAAAAAACATGAGTACTAGCTAGCATTTATCTCTCTTTGCTTCTTGACTGAGGACACAAAGTGACCAGCTGCCTCATGCTCCCACAGCCCATGCCTTCCTGACATGGACTGCATGCCTTCTTAAACTATGACCCAAAATAAATCCTCCTTCTCTTAAGCTGTTTCTGTCACAACAATGAGAAAAGCAGTAATAGAGAAAGAAAATTGGTACCAAGAAGCCTCTGTTGCTGTGATAAACTTGACCATGTAGGCCTTTGGAACTGACTTTAAGGAGGAATGTAGAAGAATTTGAAGCCATAGAATGCTTTAAGTAGAGTTTAATGGGTTCAGAAGATTAGAATGCCAAAAGAAATGAGTGGAAGCCAGTTTCTGAGATTTCAGAGAACCAGGACTCTATCTGAGACTATGCTACAGGACATTCCTGTTATAATATTCTGACAAAGAATCTGGATGTATTCTGTCCATGTCCTAAAACTTGAGCAAGGCTGAATTTGAAAGTAATGAACTAAGTTGTTTGGTAGAAGAAATCTCAAGACAGCATAGCATTCAGGCTGTGGCAGTTATTGCTTACTACAGTTATTGAGGTTATTTTTACTTAAATTATTTATTTATTTATTTACTTATTTATTTATTTAGTCTTTTTGAGCTGTAGCCCCAGCTGTCCTGGAACTCACTATGTAGACCAGCCTGACCTTGAACTCACAGAGATCCGCCTGCCTCTGCCTCCCGAGTGCTGGGATTAAAGGAGTGCACCACCATGCCAAGCTATTTTTTTATTTTATGTGTATGCCTGTATTGCCTGCACGTAGGCAAGTGCACCCGTGTCGCGCAATGACCACGGAGGTCAGAAGAGGCTGTCGGATCCTCTGGGACTGGAGTTACAGACAGTTGTTAGCTGCCATGTAGGTGCTGGGACTGGAACCCGAGCCTTCTGCAAGAACAACCAGTGTTCTTAACCACTGAGCCATCTCTCCAGCCCCTGAGGTTTATTTTTATTTTTAAAAACCAGTATTTAGGGCTGGAGAGATGGCTCAGAGGTTAAGAACACTGGTTGTTCTTGCAGAAGGCTCAGGTTCCAATCCCAGCACCCACATGGCAGCTAACAACTATCCGTTAACTCCAGTCCCAGGGGATCCGACAGCCTCTTCTGACCCCGTGGGCATTGCACCACACGGGTGCACTTGCCTATGTGGAGGCAATACACGCATACACATAAAATAAAAACACCCCCCAAAAAACCCAAAACAAAATGAGGCTGGAGAGATGGCTCAGTGGTTAAGAGCACTGACTACTCTTGCTGAGAACCCGGGTTCAATTCCCAGCACCCACATGGCAGCTACAAACCATCCTTAACTCCAGTTCCAGGGGAATCGGAAGCCCTCTTCTGACCTCCGTGGCATTGCACGACACAGGTGTACTCACATACATGCAGGCAATACATTCATACACATTAAAAAAAAAAAAACGAAAAAAACCAACTGATATTTAAAGAATTACTTATTTTTATGTGTATGAATATTTTTGCCTGCATGTATGTAAGTGTACCATGTGTGCAATTCCTGCAGAAGCCAGAAGTGGGCAACGGATTCCCTGGAACTGGAGCTATAATGGTTGCTAGCTGCCATGTGGGTGCTGTGAACTGAACCTGGGTCCTCTGTAAGAGCAGCTAGTGCTCTTAACTGCTGAGCCATCTCTCCAGTCTCTTATTGAGGTCTATAATGAGAATTCAAAGCAGAAAGATATGAAAAAAAATGTGCAATCTGGGGGCTGGAGAGATGGCTCAGTGCTTAAGAGCACTGACTGCTCTTGCAGAGGACCTGGGTTCAATTCCCAGCACACACATGGCAGCTACAAACCGTCCTTAACTCCAGTTCCAGGGGAATCCGAAGCCCTCTTCTGACGTCTGTGGCATTGCACAACATGGGTGCACTCACATACATGCAGGCAATACACTCATATACATAAAATAAAAATAATAAAAAAAATTTTTTTTAAAATGCAATCTGGCCGGGCGTGGTGGTGCACGCCTTTAATCCCAGCACTCGGGAGGCAGAGGCAGGCGGATCTCTGTGAGTTCAAGGCCAGCCTGGTCTACATAGTGAGTTCCAGAACAGCTGGGGCTACAGGGAGACCCTGTCTCAAAAAGACCAAAAAAAAAAAAAAGTGCAATCTGGTAAGGAAAGGAGCATTAGTGAATTTAAAGTGCAGACAAAGCATCTATAATTGTTAGAGATTAGCCCAATTAAGAAGAAACTTTACCCTTTGTACTAGGACAATAGGAAAAATGCTCAAGTATAAAATCCCATTCACTGAAGGCTCTAGTTTGTAAAAATATAAATTCACTTGGAAAGAGAGAGGCTGAACTAAAAATGCTATTAAATAAGTTTCCTAGTAGAAAACAACTGCCTAAGAAGTGCTTTCCCAGGATTTAAAAGCAAAGCCCACAGGGGGTACCACAGCTATGGTAGAAGGGAGCCAGATGCCATCTACAGCTGGCAGCAGAACTTGGTAGTGCCATACACATGGTGCTGGTTTTGCAGGCATGCAAAACCAAAGAGTTATGGAGTCACAGAGGCTTATACAAAGTTCCAGGAAACTACTGAGATCAGGTAATGTGTGCTAGGGTTAGATTCCCTGCAAGAAGGCCTTGAGAGGCCACTGTGCTATGAATGTAAAGCCCAAGTTGCAATGGACATTCCATGATGTTTGAAATGCGAGGGCTGTGGGATGTCTGTCAAGCAAAGTTGCAGGGATGGAGTGAACCCAGTTCAAAGGAAGGCTATGTGTACTGCAGATGGCAGCAGTGGAAGGATGGGGCTACTCAAGGCTATTGGAACCCAGATAATGCCACCTTGAGTCACAGGTGCTGGATATGGAGCTGTAGAGTTTGGTGTTTATACTGTAGGGTTCTGGTCTTTCTTTGGTTCTCTTTTATATTGCTATGTTGTGATTCTTCCTTTTTGGAATGGGAATATTTATTCTATGCCATTGTATATTGAAATTATGTAAACTGTTTTTTTTTTTAAAAAAATAGATTCATAGTTAAGAGATTGCCTTGAGGATTGAAATGAGCCAGGTATGGTAGCACATGCCTATCACCTCAACACTCTGGAGGTAGAGACAGGCAGATCATTTTGAGTTCCAGGCCAGCCAAGGTTACATGGCAAGACCTTGTTTCGAAAGAAATTGGAATGAATGCATTTTGCATTCTAAGATGATTTCAAGCCTATGGAGACCAGGGATAGAATGTTATGTTTAAATGTGATGTGTTTTAATGCTGGGAATAGTGGTGCACACCTTTAGTTCAAGCACTTTGGAGGCAGACCTCCATGAGTTCAAGTCCAGCTGGGTCTACACAGTGAGTTCCAGGCCAGCTGGGGGGCTACAGGGAGACCCTGCCTCAAAAAAAAGATAAAAAATAAAAAAATAGTCGGGCATGGTGGCACACGCCTTTAATCCCAGCACTCAGGAGGCAGAGGCAGGCGGATCTCTGTGACTTCAAGGCCAGCCTGGTCTACATAGTGAGTTCCAGGACAGCTGGGACTACAGGGAGACCCTGTCTCAAAAAGACCAAAAAAATAAATAAATAAATAAATAAAATAAAAAATAAAGATGATGTGTTCTGGAGGCTGGAGAGAGGGATCAGCAAGTTAAGAGCGAATTGTTCTTGTAGAAGAACTGAGTTCAATTCTAAGCACCCATATTAGGCTACTACCTGTAATTCCAGCTCCAGGGGGATCTGATGCGTTTGGCTTCCGTGGGCTCTGGAATTTACATGCACATACCCACACATATGTACAAACACACAATTGAAAATAAAAATACATTAAAAAAACAGTGATGTGCTTTGGAGTCAAGTTGACAAGGGGTAGAACTGTGGTAATCTTCATTGTCAATGTGATCAGATTGGAAGTCACCTAAGAGACACACTTCTGACTCCTACCATCATACCTTCTTTTTCATGACGGACTGTATACCCTCAAACCATGAGTCAAAATAAACTCTTACTCTTTAAGTTGGTTTTGTCAGGAAAATTTTGTCACAGCAAGAAGAAAAGCACGCAATACAAGCTTCAAAACCACAGAAGAGGTCCAAGGGCTCATTTACCCCAGGAACCACTTGGGGTGGCCTTGGGCCCAGCTGATCCTAAAGCATGGCATCTACTAGCCCAGCTAGCACTCAGGAAGAGAAGGAGATAGGGCATAAACATGGGAAACTCCCACTAGATAAGCCAAACGAGGAAGATTCCATCTGCAGTACATGATAGTTCAAATGAAAATAATGCTTAAAGATCAAATTTGGCTCTGGGAAGCAGGACAAATTTCCAGAGGGCAAGCTGTGGCTCTTCTACAGCCAGAAGACCTGTCAGGATGAGGGACTCTTAGGGCATTTCTGGTCAGCACTGTTATGCACCTCACAGGTTTCCTACCCTTTACCCTCCTTGGTTCTCTCAGGCTGGTTCCACAGTCCATGGTTAAGTCTCATGCTGCAGGGCCTGGAAGGGGACCCAAGGCTCAGAGACCTGAAGTCAACAGGCCAGGACAGACCACCACAAAAGCCTACAGTAAAAGAAAAAAAAGCCAGGTGTGATGGTGGCTCACACAGAGGCAGGTAGATCTTTGTGAGATTGAGGCCAGCCTGGTATACACAGCAGCCAGGGAGACTCTTGTCTCACAGCTTCATGCTGTACCCTTGCCAATTCCTCACATCCCCACCTATGCTCAGGGTAGACTGCTCTGAGGAATTCTGCTCTATATTCTTAGGGGTGATGGTAATGCCTCCCTCCTTGGGGAAGGCTCCAAGCTTGATCTGCTTTTCTGGGTAGATGTGTCTTTGTCTTGGTCCCTAGGCAGGCAATGCCTGAATCAACTGTTCACTGATTAAGCAGCCAGGTGAGGCTGGACACAATCAAGTTTCCTGTATTGGGATGACTATTGGGTTGAGGGAGGGAAAGCCAGCATACCTAGCTTTCCTAGCCTTGGGTAGTCTGTGAGTTGCCTTTTCAGCTACCTATTGGGGATTATCTAGAAGGAGAGTGTCTCCTCTCCTGAGACTGGCAGTCCTTCAGAGAAATCAGGAGCTGCCACTGCTACTGGTTTCTGCCCCATGCTTCTTCTAGGCTGCTGATTAGTGTATCAGAGACAGGTAAAAGGCTGCCTGTTTCCCATGCTTGGTACCTCTGTATGTGTGTATGTTCCAAAGGGTGGCCACAGTAAGGTGTTTCAGTCTGGGTATGTATGAATTCTTCCAGGTCATTAACACAATTTCTTCCTGATTCATCCTGGGTGCCTACTACCTACATAGATAGTAAATTGCCCTAAGGGCCAGGTCCACCTGCAGTGGGAAATAGTGGTTGTTGGGGACACCAACTCAGGGGAAAAGGCCAGCAGGAGACTAGGGTAAATATGGAGTGATGTCACTTAGGTACTTGGTGTCCTTAGGTACTTGGGCCTCACTTTATTCCACCCTCCCCAGTCTGTCTCTGATGGACTTGCCTGGCAAAATAGTTGTTTTATTTATTTTTTCCCAAAGTTCTTTTTTTCATGTAGCCCAAGCTGGACTTGAACTCCTGATTCTCCTGCCTCTACCACCTTGGTGTTAGGATTACAGGCATGAGCTACTATGCCTGGCCACAGTTCTGAATTTTAAAATCTTGTGGGGTTTTCTTGTTACTGTTGTTGTTTGAGACACGGTGTCATTCGGCAGCCCAGGCTGGCCTAGAACTCACTATGTAGTCCAGGCCACCTTAAACATTCAGCAATCCTGCTTTGCTTCCTGTCTCAACCTCCCAAGTACTGGGATTATAGGTGTGAATCACCATGCCTGGTAAACTACCTCCCCCCAACCTAAGAAACAAACCTTGAACTTTCATTTGCATACAAGAACTTAGTAAAATATAAAAAAGAGCAGAGCCACCTACCATGTGACAAGTAAATGACGTTCTTTGCTGAGGCACTACTTGCTAACACAATACTGAGAATAATGTTCGACATGCAGCTGCAGTACCAACAGCCAGAGTGTGGGCCTAGCAATTCAACTCTTAATAACTTTTCCTTAGGATATAGACCTAGATCTACAAAAATAAATGGAAATAAGGGGCTGGAGAGATGGTCGGAAGTTAAGAGCACTGGCTGCTCTTGCAGAGAACCCAAGTTCGATTCCCAGCACTCACGTGGCAGCTAACAACATCTGTAACTCCAGTTCCAGGGGATCCAACACTTTCTTCTGACCTCTGTAGGTACTGCACAACACAGTGCACTTATATACATGCAGGCAGAACACTCATACATATAAAATAAAAATAATAAAATATTAAAAAATAAATGAAAATAAAAAGATATTAGCTTTCAGGAAAATGCAAATCAAGCCAAATAAGCCTCCATCATACCCTACAGGATGGCTAGAGTCAAAGACAGATGATAACAAAATCATGAATGGAGGACACCAGAACCCTTCCGACCCTGCTAGTGGGAATGTAAATGGGCCAACCCCTGGGAAAGTTGTATCTCTCATAATCTTTCATGAGCTCACCATAAACCCTAGCAACTCTAGTCCAGGAATCTACCCAAGACAATTAAAACATACTTCCATGCAAAAACTTTAGTGTGAATGTTGGTAAATAGTTAATTTATAAAAATCAAGTGGAATTAGATGGGCGTGGTGGCACAAGCCTGTAGTTCCAGCACTTGGGAGGCAGAGGCAGGTGGATCTCTGTGAAAGATTTATCGTCCTCTTTTTTTTTTTTTTTTTTTAAAAAAAAAAAAAAAAAAAAAAAAAAAAAAAAAAAAAATCAAGTGGAATTAACCCAATGTCCATAAGCAGACAAGCAAAAGGTAGCTTTTTCTTAGAACAAAATACCACTCAAGTATGAAAAGGGAGTCCTGACATACATAGCAGCATAGATGAACCTTGAGGATATTATGATAAGTAAAACAAGCCAGATACACAGGCTCCATGTGAAATCTCTGGAAAAGGCAAACCTACAGAAAGAAAGCAGGTTAGTGCCTACCTGTGGCCAGAGTGGGACTGAGTGACTGACTGCAAATGGTATTTCTTTTGTGTGCAAACTGACTCATAAGGATGTTTGTAGAAAGCTATGAACCACTGAAAATAACTGAACATATACTTAGATGAATTTGATGGCAGACAAGTCATGTAGTAAAGGGAACTGGAGGCACTCTAATGCCATCAGGCATAGGTGAAGCAGTGTACCATCCCCACCTGTGTGGAGGTCCCTGCCATGGTTCTGCCTGTCCTGTCTCTCTGGACTTTAAACTCCCCTATCCAGTAGAGGGACTCAAACTCCAGACTCTCATGCTGGTCTTAGCACCTCCCTGTAGCATCCCCTCAAGTCCCTTGTCTGCCAACTCAGAACTCGGTGTCAAACATACCTCAGAAGACAGTCTCCTGCTTGCTTCTCATAGGTCTAGGCCTAGCCCTACATGAACTGTTTGTGAGCTTCTCTCAGTAAAGTAACAGCCAGACAGTTACCTGGGTACCCTACAGAGCAGAGCCACTAGCTCTATGTCTTCCCTGAGGCTGAGCCCTGAATGTCTAGGGAGTGCCAGATCCCCTTCCAAAGGGTAGCTAAAGCTATGCATGGCTCAGAGAGGGATGGCAGAGCTCCTATGGCTCCCAATGAACCACAAGACACCCCTAGAGGTAGCCACATTGGAACAGGGACATCACAGGCAGGGAGGGGTAGCAGTGACAACCTGTGTGAAGCAAGCCAGCAGACTCCCTCCAGACAGCTTTTATGGGAGCACCACAGGCCTTGGACAAGTACTGCCCATTGCAGACTACAGTGCAACCCCAGGCAAGGGGAAGACTCTTAGACTTGCCAGCCAAGAGCAGTGATCATCCCAGATTATTTCAGGTCCTGCACATTCATGGGGGAGAAAGTTGCCAGACAGAGTACAGATAAACAGAAACCCCAGTTCTGAGCAAGCACCTCTGCCAAGGAGGGAGACATTGAAAAGAGGCCTCCTGCCCAAGACCCCTCAAAGGAGCCCCTCCCCCACTTCTTACCTTCGGGCCCGGGGATGTGGGTGCTGTCTGGTGACCAGGGCACTCTGCCAGACAGTCTCCCCAGGGCCGCTCCTACACCAGCCAGCTGATGCCGGGGCCCCCGAGTAGGGCGGCCCCCCAGGGAAGCCGTGGTCTGACTCCGTCTCTGCAGCCAGGGAGGAGGCGGAGCTCCCCATGGCCCCCCTGACAGTGGCCACGTAGAGAGCCGGGCCCGGTCACCTCTGGCCGGTGGCGCGCGAACGGGAGCATGGAGAGAGGAGAGTGCCCACACCGAAGAAAGAGCGGCCGGCTGGTCAGTGACACAACAACAAAAATAAACAGAATAAAAAGAGAGAAAAACAGTGTGATTCACACAGATGAAACCCTAGGCTCTGGGAGGGATTCCCAGTATGCCGAATGGCTTGGGGTAGGCAAGAAGAAAACCAGGTTCAGGTTCAGGAACCTGGACTTAATCTTAAGTATTCAGCACTGCACCTCCCACAGCCAAGCCCTACAAGGGAGCAGAGGTCAGAGGACAAAGGCCAGCACCTCTGGGGCCCCCTGGCTTGTAGCATACTAGGGTCTCAGGATATCACACCTTCCCATACTTGTCTCTAGTCTTCAAAGGGTTTTATTCCTTAGTTAGAAAAGAGAGCAGCTTTGCCTTTTTACAGAAGAAATGATCAAGGAGACAGCCTGTGGGAAAGAAAGTAGAGGCACAGTAGAGCTGGTCTAGGCCTCAAAGAAAGGTATCTGAGTTTGGCCAAGTCCAAACTATGCCTTCAAAAAAGCAGCAGTAGATTGCGTAAACCCATACTCATCAGGCAGGCACTATACCTGGGAAATACCAGGGAACCTGAGAGACTGTCCATGCCTGGGAGGAAGCAGGTAGATTACTTGTACCACAAGAGAGCTATCCTATACCTGCTGGCTAAGGGGGGTTGAAACCAAACAAGACCTGAAGGTGTGATCCTTGGGTCAGGGAGGACCTCGCAGTTTGGGAGGCTGACAAACATGGAATACTTGGGTGGGGATCTCCTCTCTGGGCTATAGACTAAGGTAGGTATTTAGGTTGCCCTCTGACTGTAGGTAGGCTAGAAACTTGTCCTGGTTACAGTAGTTCCTACCTATCACCCACTGATAGCCCTTTCTCTGGCTTCTGAATAAGTCTCTACAATACTAAAAGTGGTGCTAGAGTGGAGGTGAGGGAAGACTACGGAGCCGTGACACATCTATGGAGTGTAGGCAGGCCCAGGGGACAGCCTAACATGACAGGTGACAGGCATCTGTAGTGCCTTCAGGAGCCAGCACCTGACACCTGAGAGAACCAACAGCACCAAGCCCAGCCTCTTTCCAACACAGACTATGGGGCCAGGCAGTTCTGTACCCTTTCACCATGGGGGTTTCAAATCAGAACCAGCTGTGTCTCCCATGCAGCAATAATGTTTGCCAATTGCCTTTTGAATTCAAGTGTGAAGTGATGCTTTTCCCAAACCTGGTGACCCTGTGAGACTTGTGGCTACTCAGTTCTCCCATATGGACAGAAAAGGCTCTAAACACCCTCTAGTCGAGAACAGGGTCACAGACTATGGCTTGAGGGTCAAGTTCAGTCAGCAAGCCAGAAAAACTTTTAGTTTACACTTAAAAAATTTTTATTATTTTTATATTATGTGTATGAGCATTGCCTGCATGTGTGTAAGTGCACCTGTGTCATACAATGCTGCAGAGGTCAGAAGAGGGCGTCAGGTTCCCCTGGTACTGGAGTTAAGAACAGTTTTTAGCTGCCATGTGGGCACTGGGAATTGAACCTGGGTCTTCTGCAAGAGCAGTCAGTGTTCTTAACTGCTCAGCCATCTCTCCAGCCCCCTAGTTTACACTTTTAAATGGCTAGGAAAAAAACATCAAAAAGAAAAGGATGCCAGAACTGAAAAATATAAAATTCAAATTTCTTTTTTTGGAGACATAGTCTCACTGCATAGTCTAGTTTAAACTTAAGATCTTCCTGCCTCAGCCTCCCAAGTGCTGGGATTATAAGTGTATGCTATCATGCTTGGTTTACATTAAAATTTCAGTGTCCATAAATATTTTACTGGACAAGGCTACACTCATTTGTTTACATGTTGTCTGTGGCTTCTTTCAGAGAAAGGCCACAAAAGGCCACAAGTATTCCAACTGTTCTTTTAAGGAAGGGCTGGCCGGCCCAGGCCAGACAATACAACACAGGTCCAGGCTTCCTACAAGCCATACAAAGGAGATACAAAGAACAGATAGAGGACCTGAAAGATGGCTGGAACACACAGTGGAAGGAAAGAAATGATCCCCCAAAGTCCCCCAAAGTCCCTGACTTCCACACGTGTGCACACATCCCTTCCTGAGCCCCCAATAACGTTTTTTAAAACTAGAACAGGAAGCTGGATGTGGTAGCGCACGCCTTTAACCCCAGCACTCGGGAGGCAGAGGCAGGCAGATTTCTGTGAGTTCAAGGCCAGCCTGGTCTACATAGTCAAAAGAGGTGTTTATTTGACTGTTCTTCCAAAAAAAAAAAAAAAAAAAAAAAAAAAAAAAAAACCAAAACAAAAAACACCTAGAACAGGTAGAACTGGGTATGTGGTACATTCCTGTGATCACAGCACTGGAGAGGCTAAAGGAGAACTGAGATTTCCAGCCAGCCTAGGGTACAGTGAGTCCCTGCCTCAAAAAAAAAAAACAAATTAATTAATAAAAAAGGGATCAGAGAGATGGCTCAGCAGTTAAGAGAACTTGCTACTCTTGCAGAGGACCCTGGTTTGGTTCCTAGCACCCACATGGCAGCTCACAATCATCTGTAATTTCAGTTCCAGGGGATCTGACTCCCCTCTTCTGGCCTCTGTGGACACCAGGCACACAAGTGGTATACATACATAAATGAAGGCAAGATACTCATACACATAAAATAAAAATATATCTTTAAAAAAACCCACAAAACAACAAAGATCAGGTAAAAAGAACTTTGGCATACTCTGTGTAACTCAATATATCTATCATGTTGTCCTGTCAGTATTAAATCATCACAAAGGACATTACTGAGCTACTAAGTGTACCTTTTCTGATCAAGGTGCCCTTTTCTCCCTGTCCCCCAGGGTGTCACTAAGCAGTCTAAGCTGGCCTCAAAATTTTACTGCTTTTGATTTTTTTTCCAGACAGAAGTTTTGCAATGTAGCTCAAACTGGCAAAAAACTCCTGATCCTCCTGCCTCATCCTCCTGAGTGCTACAATTTACAGCACGTACCATTGTACCTAGGTAGGCCAAGATCTTTAGACTCTGCTTTCTAGCTCAACATAAACATGCAGCCTCATGTCTGGTAGCCACATGTGCTGGTGGCTTTTGTTGGAGCCTTACTGAGAGGATTCTGTCTAGGTGCCCAGTAAAGCATGCTCCCCAGCCATTAGTCCCACATCACAAGGGCACCTAGGATATCTGCCTCTCTTGTGGTTATGTGTCAGTGCCAGAGTAACCCCCTGCACTGATGAGTCCTAGAACACAGGTGCCTACTGTGAGAAATGGACTCAGTATTTCTGGTGCTACTCTCTCACAGCCAAACCTTCAGCAAGTAAGAGGTAGATGAAAGTGTTGGGAACCGGGCTCAGTAGTAGTGTCCATGGGGCAGAAACTGCTCACCAGAGGTTTCTAAGTTGGTCTGTTGCCAACACTGGGCCACATTCACTGTGAAAGCAGGAACCATATACCTCAGGGGTTGCTTGCCTACCTCCAGGGAGACTATTCACTCCTCCAGGAAGACACCAGTGTCCTGCATGGGCTTGAGTGCCACTGGAAGCATAGTTCTCACAAGTGCCACCCACCCCTCTCACCAATCCTGTCCTGGTGGGGCACCAGAGCCTACCCTCTTCATGCCTTTGTGCTTGCTCATTGGTGGTATCTTCCTTGAGCTGAGGGTAAGGTCTCCTTGGAAGATGAGGACAGCATATTCTTTTTTTGCTGAGTGTGCAGAACAGAGAAAAGGCAGGCAGGAAAAGCAAGGTTCTCAGGAGCTTGCTATGCTGACAACACCTTGTATTTGCTGCCAGGGAGGAGAGAGTCCCTGGAATGCTGATGAACCACTGCCTTGGTTAGGTGAGGGCTACTTGGGGGCCTGAGAGAAGATGCTGGTACAGTCTTAAACTCACACTCACCCCACCAGGGAGCAGCTGACCACCAGCTCCTTGGCCTGGGAAGCTTTTTACCTTGAGAAGCTGGCATCAATATGGCTCTTTGTTTTGAGACAGGGTCTTATGTACCCCAGTCTGGCCTCAACTCACTGTGCAGCCAAGAATGATACTGATTTCCTGTATCATCCTGCCTCTACATCCAAAGTACCAGGATTATAGATGTGTGCCACCATACCCAGCTGTACATGTGCCTCTTAAAACCCATCTTCTTTCTGCTAGCTTTCCAGGTGCAGCTGTAGGCCTCAGTCTTTCTTGTAGCCTCAGTGGTTAGCAATCTCACATGTATGGTAGGTAGCTGTGCAAAAGAGTCCACATGCATTCCTTCTGGGTTGTGACAGTTTTACTCAGGAGCCTCTCAGAAAGTAGAAGGGGATTATCTAGCAGCAGCCTTGGAGAGGGTTGGCTATTCCTCTGGCTCTAGTCAATCCTCTGCAGAAGCAATTATCACACCCAGGCCACTTGCCAAGGACAGGGGCCAGGCCTTCTCTGAGCAAAGGAGGCTGGCCCCTCCTAGGTCTCCTCTACCTTGGCCGGAGCACACCAGTAGAATAAATGTGTGGTGCTGGGCAGGACACTGAAGAGTGCTGACACAAGTAGGGCCAGTCTTCCTTCCCATTCTGGTTGCCTAGACTGTCCTCCAAAGAGAACAGGATGGGGAGGGATTTTAAAGAACATAGCACAGCCCGCATCCTGGGTGGCAGACCTCAGTTATCCCAAGGGCTACCCTCTTTTGCAGGGCCTGCTGGTAGACAAAGCCCCATATTCCAGCAATACTCTACCTGTTCCTCCTTTTATTCATGTTTGTGTGCTCAGCAAACACCTTTTTGTTTTGTTTGAGAGAGGATCTCCCTGTAGTCACAGCTGGTCTATCTCAGAGATTTGCCTGCCTCTGCCTCTTGAGTTGTTGGGATGCACACTACACCTGGAAGCAAACACCTTTTGACCTCTGCTGAGTGCCAGGCTATTTTAGGAGGTTGGACATGGCAAATAGTGATGCTCAGTGGTCCCTGCAGTAGGTACTAACTGTCTCATTGCCTCTGACCTCACCATATCAGCCTCTGACAAGAGGTACAAAGAGCAGGTGCACTAAGGACCATGAGATGC